AAAGCTTACTGCACATCTGCATGACCCCACCAATTATCTCCCAAAAGATGATTAGGCTCCTGAGTAAAATGTAGAAGGAGTTCAGGGAAGATGGGGCTTTTTGCTTAAAAAACATCATTTTTCGACCCCCATTTGACCCCCCGGGGCAAAATCAAAATTCCAAAACCTTACTGCACATCTACATGACCCCACCAACCATCTCCCAAAAGCTGGTTAGGCTGCTGAGTAAAATGTAAGAGGAGTTCAGGGGAGACGGAGCTTTTTGCTTAAAAAACGTCATTTTTCGACCCCCATCTGACCCCCTGGGGCAAAATCAAAATTCCGAAAGCTTACTGCACATTTACATGACCCCACCAACCATCTCCCAAAAGCTGGTTAGGCTGCTGAGTAAATTGTTGAAGGAGTTCAGGGAAGACGGGGCTTTTTGCATAAAAAACGTCACTTTTCGACCCCCATTTGACCCCCCGGGGCAAAATCAAAATTCCAAAACCTTACTGCACATCTACATGACGCCAACAACCATCCCCCAAAAGATGATTAAGCTACTGTGTAAAATGTAGGAGGAGTTCAGGGAAGAAAAGTGTGACAGACGGACGGATGGACGGACGGACGGACGGACGGACATGAGTAACAACAATATACCCGAACTTTCTTTAGAAAGTGCGGGTATAATCAAAATTTATTTATCGTGGCGAATGGTTGTGTATAAAGTTGAAAAGACGTAAGTATTGAAGCTGTTGATTTTGGTAAAATCTTGTGATTTCAAATTGTCCAAAAATTATTTAATGACAAATCTCAGTTTAATTACCTGTAAACGCTAAATAAACGCATTCACATGTATCAAGAAGCTATTCCACAGATATTTTTGAGTGGTTGATTGCTTTCTGTTTTATGCCGAGTAGGCAATATTTCGGTGGTTAATTTTGTTTTATCCAGCTTCATTATAGTTGTGCATTATTTTGCTTAAACCAGTAACTAAGACTTCAAGTAATAACGAATCGTTTGTGATTCTTTTTTGCATAAGCTTTAAAAGCTTGTTATCGGCCTTTATGTGCTTCATAAAGTAAAAGTAGTTGTACAGTTCTAAAAAGCTCATCATGCATCGAAGACAAAGGTGCTTCTTCAAGGTAAGTACAAACCTTTTAACTATCTTTTAATTATATAACTTGGTATACCTCAATATTACAGATTACTTAATACACACATGCTTTTTCTATAATCATCAAGAAAGCATATATTAAATGATATTAAACAAAAAGTTTTTCGGTACTTCATTTATCTAGTTCCATTCTAAAACTCTGCAATGATTATAATTTTATTTCAAAGTACTTAAATTAGATAGATGGTGGACTCGATTGATCGGATATTGGTGTGTCATCTTTTACATAAAGATTTGAGGAATAATCTGCTGATCTGCAGGTAACGCTTGTTATGAGATATCGATTTGATAGGTACATCGCCCACGGATAGTTAACAGGCTGATGATTATATGATAATCGTTAATTTATCACACACAATCAGAGAAGAAGACATTATACCGTCATAAACATAAAGCACAGTATAAGACATACAACTGTATAACCATTAAGCGTTTTATAGAGAACCTTTTATATCCGGTCACAATTTAGCAAAACGTTATTAATGATCAGCGTGGACCCCCAGTTTATTGTACATATACTCTGTGTAATTTGTCAGAGTCGATAGTTATGATATTTTTTGTCGTCAAAATAAAAATTTGAAGATTGTATTTTATATTTAGTACATGTTCTTAGTTTAGTATACCTTTGCGTTTTGAGTCAACTGAGAGACATACATGATGCAGATAAATGCAGGAGATAACGGTAGGCTACTCTATAAATGAAGAGGCTTACGATAGAAAATGTAAAACCATTACGTTAATCATAAAATCTTGTTCTTTTGTTGCTATTTTATAGAGCCTTTTTCTGGTGAAAAATCTAAACATGGAACTAATTTGGTAGACTCTTTGATACATGTATCTTCATTTTACGAATTCAAAGTGATATATGCATATACCCTCATGCTGAACTGAACGGCACAAAAATAGACATTCAATCTCTATGATAAACATGATAACAGCTAACTTTTCAATTGTTCACTTCTCTTTCTTATGCGGCAATATACCTTCACCACCTGTATATGGAGCTTATATCTCTCAGTTGATTCGACATGCAATAGCATGCTTTTCGTATTTTTTGCCAAGTATATTTTTAGTTTCTACATACAAAGCTTAATTAAAATTCAAATCAAAAACTGGGGGTCAATATGCTTCTTTTAGCGCTTCAGTACATTTAATATGACCTTTCTGCACTGAAATTTGTGTCTTAATTAAAAATTACATCTTCGACGTTTTCCCTCCAATATTTTTATCCAATTAAAGCATGAAACAAAATGAACTCTAAGTCTGTTTAAAAAAGACACTTAAAATTGTGACTAAGAAAAAGTTTCAAATTGCTTTGCATAATCAATTATTTGACCTTTCTGCACTAATAAAATGTTATTTTTCCGGCATTGAAAATATAATAAGCAAGAACATTATTTTAAAGTCAAACTTTTTCTGATTTTCAGCAAATAGGTCAAAGGTATCTTGAATATTTAGAAAAGAACATCAAAATTGGGGGTATATGATGTACATTTTCAGATATAACCAAAAAAGTGTGAATTTTACGTTAAATTTGGCTCAATGTTTTCCCGGATTTTCAGAATATATTTACTATATTTGGCACACTTTGCTGATAGAATTCATAAGAACTAATTTAATAGATATTTCAGAACCAGCATAACATATTTCACTGCAAAAAACAGCTTTGTGTGCAACCAGCATGGAAAAATAGGCATCCAAAATTAACAGTACTGTTATAGTTCAAATGGAAAAAAAAATGACCATTTTCGTCTAAAAAAAACTTCTGCCACAAAATATAGTCCCTAGCTTAATTCTACTTGAAAGGAATTTAATCGCGGTTTTTTCATTGAATATAGTTTAATTTGCATTGTAGAATTCAGTTCTATTGTTAGAACCTAAAAATGATGCTTAATTTTATGAATAAAGGACCTGCGCGAAATACCTCAAAATATCAGGATCGAACGTCCTTAAGTTATCATTTCGTAGGTTCTATGGGGGATATAATGGTTTTGTCAGCAAATACAATTTATCAATGAGTCAAATGCTGGCTGACGTTTTTCATACTTATTGTTAGTCCATTATTTATACACTGAATTGACAACGGATTTTCCAGTTATTTCTAAATTATGGCAACGAGCACTCGGTGGATGTGACTGGCCGGCAGGGGATGCTAACTACTCTGTAGTATGGAAAGGAGGAATAAGTAAACTTATATTGAAAAATCATTATTATATTACATTTTGAAAACATATGGCTGGACCGGGAATAGAACCCGGGTCCCCTGTCTGGAGTTCTAGCCACTGAGCTATCCAGGTCGATGTCCTCAGTCCAGCCTAAATTCCTACACTTCCATGGCACCTTATTGCACCTGTGATATAGTATTGAGGTCCTCCTTTGCTCTGCTCTTACTTTGAATTATTTTATGGACTTCAGGGTCCAAACACTTTAATACTTTGACACTTTAATGAAAACTTTGAATTAATTTAATGATCATAATGATGACTTTGAATTTTTAATTTACTACCGTGAATTACAGTAAACTATAGTATTTTTTGTTAGGGCTCCCCCTTCCTTCACTAAAACAATCAATCACATAAGTGATTAACCTCTAGAAAGTCTTTTGTCTTCATAAACCTTGTACAAATTATAAAATGCTACTTCAAAAGAATTTTCAAGTTATAGATTAAACTCAAGAATCCCTCATTGTTCGAATAAAAACTGTGTCAATCATTTTTTTCACAAGTCACCTACATAATATTTTGACAATTAATAGATAAGCCTTTGCTATTTTACGTGTGTAATATTTGTCATAAGACGATATAAAAAAAACGAGAAAAGTAAGAGAACTTTACTCTTGACTTAATAATTTTATATCAGAACATTTGCTGGATTACACTGTTTTCAAAAATGTGTTTAATGATTGCTTGTCGAGCTCCATTTTTTAAGTATTTAATGAGAGTTATCTTTCGTTCAGCTACATTACATGACGTGCCTTTCTTCTATAATGCATAATACACGTATATATATTAATGTATCTTTTCGCAAGGATAAATGACGAACCTTTCAACTTATCATCAGTATTTCTCATAGATTTTTGATGAAATATATATCTTACCTGGATAATGTTATTTAAAGAAAATTGGGGAATTTTTGTGAAATTATGTCACAGTGTTTAACATATGTACAATTTTTTTTAATAGAATTACAAAAAAACGACACAAATTCGCATACCTAAGTACGAAGAAAAACGAAAGAAAGATTTCTTTGTGTCAGGGATTTATTTAAATTATTGATGACATTCTAATTAAAATATGTCTCAGATTAAATACATAAATCAATGAATCATTTTTTTGTTTGTGAAATGTATCCTTAACAGCGTTTTTGTCCTGTGATCGACTTTGGCTTTTGTGCAAAAAGAATTCCTCTTCTTCTCAACTTCAAATTCAACCAAGTAGGGCTTTCGTTAAAAAACAAAAACAAATTATGTTTTATTCAAAGACAATAAATATTGGTTATAGTATAAGTTTCACAGAACTTAAGAGGTAAACACAAAAAAACTCAGCAGAAGTATTTTTAATATGTATTTGTCAACAAAACTGTAATAAAAGTTTTTATTGTGCATAAATAATTTATCAAGGTAAAACAAAACATAAATAAAAGAGAGAGAGAGAGAGAGAGAGAGAGAGAGAGAGAGAGGAGTATATTCTTAAGTGGACTTTACTATAAATCTTTTTACAGTCAAGATAATATTAAGTCTGGCCCACACATGCGTCATTTCTACGTATTGATTTTTATGTTTACACACGTTATCTCTGACTCGGTATTAACCTGTTACCTGGTTGTTTGAAATGCTGTTACCAATAATGTGAAGGATGTATTTAAACCTAGGAAAAATTACATTTCTGTGCGTATTCTTATTTCTCTAATATTATTTAGTGTTAAAAGAAAAAAAATCAACCACTTCAAAGTCTCTATTTTCGATTCATCAAATGTATTTGCTTTATAACATGGCTGGCAATACTTTGATAAGAACAATCAAAGGAAACCAAGCAGATTCGCTTTCAAAACATTGTTTAATGAAAGAGCTCATATGCATCCTCAAAATAGATAGTTCGTATTCAGATAATCATGTGCCCTTTAATAAAGGGCATATCATTGAAAAATTAAGGTTTTTCCATCCTCCTATGATGCCATAAGTTTTTGAAAAAACTGTTATTTATTTAAATTTATGCCGACTAGAACAATAATTTTTATAAGAATCCTTATCAATAAGTGTAATGATAAATATTGTTAAGTAAAAGAATGTAAAAAATGTTGTTTTTTTTTAAAATAAATTTTTCAAACTTTAAAAAAATTGACAAGGGCAATAATTCCTCCTCAGTTAAACTTCATTCAGACAGTTTCATTCTTGTAATTCTTATGTAAAATAGTTTCCATGGTATTCAGAAATCAAAATTATTTCAGAAGTAGCAAGTATATCGGAACTTTCAACGTCAGAATTAGGCATTTAAACCAGTTTTTACATAATTTTATCATAAAATTTACAAAAAATGTACAATTTTTTTATGTTGAAATGCACTTCTGTTTATTTATGTCACCTATCTTAAATAATATGTCGACCTATACATTTTTAAAAATAATTAGTGAATTTAAACTATATTTAATGAAAATAAATGCAGCTTTTGTACTTTGAATCATTAAAATCGTGAGAGTGGAGAAACCTTAACACGTTCTAATCTGGTTTTCAAAATTTTAAAAATTACCTCTTTTTAATACTTTTAAGATATTGCTAAGCTTAATTGGTCAAACTCTTGATGAAGTTATGTTCTAAGTAGAAAGCACGGAAACTTACACATAATAAATTGATATCACCGTCTCTTTTATTTTTAGATATATTTAGCGGTACGTGTGTATTGTATTCACTGATGGATGATTTTTTTTCAAGATATAAACTCATAACTGCAACGGTGTGTGCAAACAAATTTAACAACGCGCAAATAAAAATTTGTTTGCACACACCGTTGTAGTTATATGAGAATGTATCTTTAAAAAATGACGATTTATTGTTTAAATCTACATTTTGAACTCTTGTCTTTCATTGCAAAGGTGATTTATATTTCAAAATTACTGTATTATCGTTCGGTTAAGTTCAAGTTAATGGGAGAGCCAATGTAACAGCTTCTATTCAAAGTAAACGTGTTATTTGATTTTTTGTATATGACGTTGCACTTCAACGACGTTCAACGTTTGTGATATCAAAATGAAACGTAATCCTTTACCCTTTGACCCCTTGTCCGTGTTATGGTGTTTTGAGTGCCGTAAATTTCCAAACAGTGTTTATGCAAAATATATCTGTAATGTAAACATTTAAATTTTAACTGATACGGATTGCAAATTAAAAACACATTGATCCTCCTTCACATTGCAAAACCTTTTATATAATTATGACATAAATCAGACAAGGGTAAATTATATTGTTCCAAATTGTATACGATCTATTAAATGATATGAATTTGTAAAATATTTTGAAAGGAATTATACGATTATTAAATGATTAGTATATAATTTAATTTTGTTTGTATTCTAGCCTCTCATTGGTTGATTGCCGAAAAATAACGCAAATTATTCTGTATAATCTGGTTTGGTATCAGGACACACCCCCTTAACAACCAGCCGAATCATATGTATCCATGCGATCCCCTCATTCCCAGTCCTTGGTATACATGGAAAATTCCAGATCTAATAAATATATTACATTAATTTAAAACAGTATCTCGATCTTAACTCATGTAAATAAACATCATAGCTACTAGGTCTATAAATCAGTTATACCCTCGCTTCTCATCACTTCTGTTACTATGGGTGCATTATTGAGTGGCAAACTCATTAAAAGCAAAACAATTTTACATCCACAGTTGTTTAATTATTTTAAAATTAAATTATAAGGAATAACTCTAATTCTTAGCCACATTATTCGATTTACTTAATTATTATAAAATCAAATTATAAGGAATGACTCTAATTCTTAGCCAAAAAATTCGAGTATAACCTGGTTTTGATCAGTTTACGCTTTTTTATAATCCGCTTCCGTATAATTTAGCCAGGAATGAGAGTCCTTAAGGCTGAAAAGCGTCATTTGATTGGACAAAAATAAATCTTAATTGTATAACCTGGGTTGCCTACATTACAATAACCTACTGTAAATCATTTTTTATTCGCGAGAACTTTATTTTCGCGTAATTACGCGAAACGATATGCTCGGCAAAATTTCATTCTCGCGTATAATAGAATTCCATAAGATTATGTAGAGTAATGACCACAATTCGTGAAAAATTTGTCTCGCTAAGAAAGAGTCAATGACTACCTCGCGAAAATAAGGTGTCGCGAAAATTAAGTGATCTACAGTAGTCAACAACATATATAAGCCACTTGATGTTATGTTTAAAATATGAACAATTTGAAAAAAAGTTTTAAGGGATATATTGTCTTGTTTTCTATATTTAGTGATTGAAAATAAAATTAAAAGTAATAAATTAAATAGCAACCCAAGTTATACTGTTATAACCTGGGTTGGAACAGTTTAAGGATGAATGACACACAACGTTTTATTTCAAAAATCTCTGAGTCAACCTTTTCAAACAACGGTTTCAGCATTGAAAGATCGACATCAGGTCTCAATTATTTTATATGATTTTTTTTTTGCATTTTTCAAAGAAAATGAAAAAAAAATTTACATCCAAATTAGATGCTTTGTAGTAAATATTTTGCTGTAAATGAATGCATCACATGAATACGTCATAAAATATCTAAAGAAGAACCGTAAAGATATCCAAAAAATAATAAAAATATATATTTATGAAAATTTAACACATAATTTGTGAATATTTTTTAAATTTGTGGTTAACTGGGGTAAACGTGTTCGTGAATCATATTTATAAAAAAATTGAAACGAAAGAGCCAAATTTCAGAGAAAATATTAAAAAAAAAATCTTTTTGGCCAATCCCGATCAAAATTAAACCGATCCTATCCATAATTGTAAAATTATTGGAAAAAAAACACAAGTCTGATTAGGTGTAATAAGAGTTAAAATACTATTGAACCTGACAATAAAATAAGTTTCTTTATTGTAAATACACGAAGAGGCAATAAATTAGCATTTTATTCATTTTGTGTTAATTTTGATTGGGATCAGTTTATTTTTGTTCGGATTAGGTTCAAATATTCGAAAAAATTAATTTCACTAAAATTTCTCATTTAGTTTCATTTTTTTTTTTAAATATGATTGACAAACATGTTGTCCTCAGTTGTGACTAGTTTTATGGTGTTTTTAACTACATGTACAGGTTTATTAACATATTCACAAATAATGTTTTTTATTTTCATAAATTATAATTTATTTAAAAAATTTAAAAAGTCTAACCAGCTTTCTTTTTATTATACATATTTTATTTATGGAATGCCATATACGACAGCCAACTGCTTACTGCCAACTGCTGACTGCTTACTGCCAACTGCCAGCTGCTTACTGCCAACTGCCACACATATTTGAAGAAATTTTATCTTTATATTAATATTTAAGTAAATTTAAAAAAAAAGGCGCGGATCTATAGGACATTTGTTCCAAGAGGGTCCCTCTGGTAACAAAAAAAAAATCCAAACCATAAATATTTGACAAGAAAAAAAATACGTAAAGTCCTTTCCTAAATATGAAAATTTATTTCGGCCGGGGAGAGGGGGTTCTTATGCGTCATACCTTCATGTGTATGACATTTTTCATACCAACTTAACACGAATCCACATTTTTGGTCGGGGAGGCTCCTTTTTAGTTGATTTATTTTATATATGTAGCATCTTTATTGGCTTATACATTGCATATAAATGCCACATCTATGCATGTAAAACATATTTTATTTGTACAAACAAAGAGATATAAATGTTTGATCGGCGTTTTCTAAGTGGATGGTCCAAGATCACTTTACCGGTAGTTCGTTTAGTTTATTTAACGTATGACTGCACAAATTTTAAATCACCCCCCCCCCCCTGGTCTATGCAACATTATAACACACAGATATATACATCTTTAATTTGAGGAAATGTTTAACTATAGAATATATTGGAAAATGGAAATTTATTTTCAAAACATCTTTCTCTGCGAAACGAGAAATCTTTTTTATTATTATTCTCTCTTCAAAGGTTTTGTTGTCTCCGGATGAAGGGGGGGGGTTACTTTAAAGATTAAAAGTAGAAAATAGCCATTTTATTACCTATTTCAAAAAGGAAAACAAATAAAATAAACAATGTACTTTATCAACCGCATATATTGAATATTACATAAGATAAAACATATTGGTCATTTTATTCTTTTCAATGTTACCAGGGTGATCCTCTTGGAAAAAAAATGTCCTGGATCCGTGCCTTTTTCCCCTTTTTCGTGAAAATTCATATAAATATCAATACAAATATAAAATTTCTTCAAATATGTGTGGCAGTTGGCAGTAAGCAGCTGGCAGTTGGCAGTAAGCAGTCAGCAGTTGGCAGTAAGCAGTTGGCTGTCGTATATGGCATTCCATATTTATTAGATATTCACATGATTCATTCTTTTACAGCTAGCTTTTATCTCGAAAACAACTTGTTTGGATATAAATATTTTTTTATTTTCTTTGAAGAAATACAAAAATTTCATTTAAAATAATTTAGAGCTAGTATTGCTCTTTCAGTGTTGAAGCCATTGTTAAAAAAGGATGAATCAAAGATCTATCAAAAAAAAATTGGTGTGGCATTCCACCTTAAGGTTATTTTATAAACCGCTTCGAGATTAAGCTTACTGTTCAAACCCAGTTTATACAATTTAAAGGACAGTATGCACGGTAAGATTTGTATAATAAGATTTGTATTATAATACAAAATCTTACTGTATATACACTCTTTATACAGTATATCATAAGATTTTTCGAATCTTATAAAACTGTATTAAGAAAAGAGCAATGTTCTATTTTCTAATACAAACCTTAATTTATCTATCACTTTCAACCTATGAAATGTAATGACACTAGGGGCATTCTATTTTTATCATTAGTAAAAAAGCACTTGGTAAATAATAATGATAGACTTTACAAGTAAAGACATCGAGATACTCGTGGCTTAATGAAAAGAGAAAAAGGACTTGTGGAATATATCAAACAGTGCATAGTACGATTATAGACACTGCTATCAGAGCCTCATCCTCCATTTTTATTATCTTGACAGAAAGAGAATAATGGCGGGGGAAAACACATTGGAATACGTAGTTTATTTACAATCTTATAAGATATGTATTAGCGTGTGTACAAGAAAGTGTTATAATACAAATGTATTATAATACTTGTATTATACTACAAATCTCATCATGTATACCGACCTTTTTGTAAATTTGAAATTAATTTTACTAAAATCAATACCTTGAAACTTATATATATTTTAAAGGTTTTACACTACCATTCCAATCGATAAATTTAAATCCCGGCTGGAACTCATAAATTTATTTACCTTGTAATTAATAGTTTGCTAAAACATTCTTATGGTACACAGTACTCTGAACATTTAAAACAAGCTCGAATTTTCGATTGACAATACAGTGGCTGCAACGTTATTGTTGACAACTAACACGAACGATCACGTTACGCGAACGATTCCGCACGATTAACGCATGATTAAACCTATCAAATTACACGAACGATCCTTCAGGCACACCATTCTATACACGTTGCACGATCTTACACAATTGCTAACGCAAACGCACGATTCTTCAAAATATTTAGGAATCGATATTTCAAAACGGCTACATACTATATTAAGATTTCATAGAATTATCAATATTATTTCATAGACTTTTAAAAAATCCGGAAATGGATGTTTCTGTAACTAAATAAATGTAAGACTTCATATTTTAGATTATAAATAATTATTTACTTGGTAATTCTCCGACCTAAGAAAACAGATCTTTTTCGTTCGATCAGAAGATGTACATGTATGTGAGCCATATATTTTGATTGAATTGGATCTCATGATATACAGAATGAGGGATACGATTGAGAAAAAAAAGTGGCAGCATGGAATGACTTCAGTTACAAATATATCCTTCTATTTTCATTGATTCAATGTTTTAATGTTTCTCTAAAAATAAGCTTGCCAATTATCTAACTTTTTTGCAGAAATTTTAAATTAATTAAAAGTAAGCTCAGATAATCAAAAAACCCAAAATCATGTCGCGTGCATGTATATTCTTCGACTAAATATTCATGTAAGCATTGAGAAATGTTTATGCTGTTGTAGAAAATATTTATTTTTGATGTATTGAATTTAAAAATATCTTTACCAAAATTAGCAGTAAACAAGAGTGAAAATTAGATCTAAAAAAACGTCGAAGATCTAAGTACGCTTTATCACAGTATTTATCGCGCCTATTTGACGAGAACTTAATATTGTACGACTTACTATATTGCTTGTTTACGAGCAATAATTAGTTCGTTTTGCATTCAATTACGTAAATTGCGCTTCATTCATTTTATTTGCATTTAAATAAATTAATTAAAAGAAAATGTAAATCCCATTGAGCTTGAGAAAAAAAAAAATACCACGTAGTCATGACATATTTGTCTTATATATCTGGATATTTCATATGTAAAGAACGTTAATTGTTATCTAGCAAACAAGGTTTTTGATAAACGTGATAACTTTGACTTTTCCATCGTCAACTTCCCTTACTTATGCTGCCATATACTTTCATCAGCTGCATCTCTCAGTTGATTCAATACACAAGAGCATGTTCTACGTATAAACAATTTCTTAAACGAGACATATTGAGATAACGAACAGTATCCAAAATCAAAAGTCCATTAAACAATACAAAATAGGAGCTGAGCAAACACGGTAAATTATTGACAATTAAGTTGATGAAACAAAAACTGCAGTATCGTATATTATCATCATTATGTTAGTTCTAAGGTCGTTACAATGTCCTTGCCAGAAAATGCAATAGATCATTGAGTCAAATGCTGTTGAAGAGTTTTCATACTAATCGTTAGAACACTGTTTTCACAATACATCGCTTTCAACCGGGGTCTTTCCAAATAAGCTGAAACGTGCACTAGTTACACCACGTCTAAAAAAGCCAGGACTGGATATGAATATCTTCACTAACTATAGACCAGTCTCAAATATTCCTTTCATCAGCAAGGTCATCGAACGTGTTGTTGCACAACAGCTTAATGGTCATCTCACCAGAAACGGTCTTCATGATGACCTGCAGTCAGCTTACAAGACCGGTACCAGCACTGAAACAGCCATCCTACGAATAAAAGCAGACGTAGAAGCAGTACTGGATGAAGGTGATGCCATGCTCCTGGTCCTTCTCGACCTGAGTGCTGCATTCGACACCATTGATCACACCCTCTTACTGGAGAGACTACATGTGGAAGTTGGACTTACGGACACGGCACTCTGTTGGATACAGTCTTACCTGAGTAGCCGCACTCAAGCAGTAAAGATCAACAACAGTGTGTCCTCAGATGTGCCACTGTCCACTGGAGTGCCACAAGGGTCTGTTCTCGGTCCCCTCCTCTTCCTGGTGTACCTCCTACCACTCAGGAGAGTCATCAATCAGTATGACATTAGCCGTCACGGATTTGCAGACGACACCCAATTGTACAACCGTCTGAGTGTTAAAAACAATGTCAGGTGTACGGAACAAATCAAGGTTATGGAAGAGTGCATAGCGAGTGTCCGAACCTGGATGACGGTAAACAAACTCAAACTGAATGATGCAAAAACCGAGATAATGGTGATTGCCAGCGCTCATAACCAGAACCGTGTTAAGAACATTCAGCTGAGGATTGGTGACGCAATAGTGACATCTCAATCTACTGCTAAAAACCTCGGTGCTACCCTGGATGCCACCTTATCAATGGAAACGCAAGTCAAGTCCATGCTAAAAAAGATATATTTCAACATTAGGAGAATCTCCAAGGTGAAACAACATCTCACCCAGGAAGCGTGTGCAAAGGTCATCAATGCAACAGTCGTATCCCATCTCGACTATCACAATGCCCTTCTGCTTGGCATAACCGATCGAACCATGCACCGATTACAAGTGGCTCAGAACAATGCTGCGCGTTGTCTCACAAAAACAGGCTACAAACAACATATCACGCCAGTACTTCAACAACTGCACTGGCTGCCTGTAAAACAACGTGTCGTGTTTAAAGTGCTGACAACCATGCACAAGTCTCTACACTCCTCCTCAGCATCACCATATATGAGAGAGTTATGCCCTACTTATCAGCCACAAAGGACTTTAAGATCATCGTCTGACAAATGGAAAGTAATAGTAAAGAAATCATCGAACAAATATGGCGCAAGAGCCATAAGCACATTAGGCGCACAACTGTGGAACAACTTGCCTTTAGAACTACGAGAGCTAGAAGCACATGGATCATTCCGCAAGAACCTAAAAACACTCTTGTTCAAGCGTGAATATAATCTATGAATGTAAATATCCCAACATAACACCTAGGACTCCATGTGTACCCTCTCGTATACTCAACTTCAGAAGTACTTTCCTGTGTACATAACAGTTTTTTATTTTCATTTTATTTTGCCTTGTCTACGTTAACCAATTTCATCTTACTACCATGTTTTATTTTAAGGTCCCTTTGTTTTATCGATTATTTACTTTCAATTACAGATTTATAGGTTTTATTAATCTATATTGTTTTTGAATATTAGCAAAACCATTGTACAGCGCATAGAAACTATATGTGATTTTGCGCTTTATAAATTAATAAAATAATAATAATAAAATAATAATAATGAGATGTCGACATATTTTTCCATTATATTCCGATCACGACAAAAAGAAAACTCAGGGTTCACTCCCCCATGGCACCTATATTTGCTCTGTTCCTGTTAAGTATTGTTTTATGAACTGTTGAGCTTGAGTACACAGTTTGTTACCTCAATGTGTTTCATGACATTGAAGATATTATACTAAATCAATTTAATTTGTAGGCTTGCCAGCGTCTTTTGTTGTAAATGTGCTACAATGTGGAACAGTAAGGTCAGTATTGAAACTTTTATTTATTAAGTATTGAAAAGAAAGCTGACTGCACTCAGTGGCAGGTAAAATGTTGTAAACTTCACATAAAAGAAATGCAACCAGTAGTTTAATTAAACATCTGTATTTTTATACATGTAAAATTGTATTCACAATTTAACATAGATTTTAACTGGAAGAAAAACTTAATTGAAAAAGACCAATCCGTAAATACTACAGATAATCGGTAACTACAGATGCGTATTAGTGCTACCTTCAACTCAACATTAAGAAATATCGACGACGCATTGTCAATTAACAATGGTAATTTCCAGTCTTATGTCGATTCGATGTATCCTGGTACGCTTGATATAAAAGATATCACAGAGATTGACAAATCTGTTTCATATCTGGATATTTTATTGTAAAAGATGTTAATGGTTATCTTAAAACCAAACCCTATGATAAACGTGATGACTTTAACTTTTCAATCGTCATCTTCCCTTACTTGTGCAGCAATTTACCTTCATCACCAACATACGGACTTTTCATTCTCAGTTGATTCAATAAGCAATGCTCTACGCGTATTAACAACTTTCAAAACGAAGTTGATAATGAAAAAAACAAGATGATGAAACAAGAATATCAGCAATCTCATTTAAAGTCATCATTTCGTAAGTTATATGTTTGATACAATAATCTTGTCAGTAAATGCAATTTATTATTGAATCAAATGCCGACTAACGTTTTTCATAGTAATTGATAGTTTCATATTTTTACTCTGAATTGACAATGGATTTTTCTGTTAATCCCTGATAATGACAAGGAAAGCACGGCAGATGTAACCGTTCGGCAGGGGATGCTCACTCCTTCATGGCACCTGATCCCACGTCTTATGTTTTGAAGGCCCGTGCTTGCTCTGCTCCTATTTTGTATTGTTTTATGGATTTTTGATCTTTTATGCTATACGTTATCTCCATATGTTTCATATAGATATGTTCACCTCTTGACATTGAAAGTTGTATTCCCACTTCTAAGAACAGATTGTTCTTTTGTAGAAGATGGGAATTCAATTTCATTCCATAGTAATGTTGGTACTGATTAATTCGAGGTTGACTTTTATTACTTGTTATCCCCTATCCAGAAACAGAAATTTTTTCTGTCCTGATTCTTGGATATGGAAGGGATTAGTTTATTTCTCTCCAAGAATTATGTCAGAGAGTCATTTTGCACCAATAACAGAGTTGAACTTCTAAATTATTATCTTATAAATTATCAGACAATTGATTGATCGCCTGCCGTAACACAGGATATCGAATTTTAAGGTCTCTCCCGAAAGACCTGCAACTTTTAAGTTGCTAGCCATTTTGTATCGATTCAGTTCAGTCGCGACCGAGATTTGAACCAACGACCTCCCGATCACGATGCGAGTGCTCTACCGAATAAGCTACTGTGAACGGTGTGTACAGTAATTACTTATAGACTTATTTTAAGAGAAACTATATTGAAATAGTAATACATATATCATGAATATATTTTCAATAAAAAAATCTACAGATTTTTTTGACAAGCATAGTGAGTATTATGCCCGATGAACACTTGCATGTCTTACGGATTTAAAAACGGCTGTGGAACAACTTGCAGTTGTGTTACAGTATCAAAGACATGCATGTATAAGGTACAATATTCAACTGTCGAACATTTTATACAATTTGCTTTTGTATTTTATAATGAGTAATAAACTTTTTGAAAGTTGAAAGTGAATGAGAAAAAACAGAAAATTTTTATATTGAAGAATGATAATTGAAATCCCTAATACGAATGAATAGTTTACATTAAACGTGCGTTTGTTTCCTAAGATCTATAATAATTTCACGGTATTAAAAATCCTGATGTGAGGTTTCCAACTCCAACATTTATCATCATTGAACATATTAACATATAAAAACAGAACACGACAAACATTAATCTTTGAGCTCCTTGTATGTCAATGGTAATAATTACAATTCGTTGGAAAAGAATAGTTTAATTATAGCTTTATAATTGTTATAATATTAAAACGAAGTAATAGGTTGTATTTGCAATAGGTATGAGTATCGATTTTAGATTAAAATCGATATAGAATATAATTATGTAAGTCATGTGTAATTTAGATAATTTTTTTTTCATTATTGAAAATTAATTGACTGTATAACATTTCGCTGTTTTTGTTTTATGACATTTCTGTGCAAAATAACTGCCTACTAAACTTAATGTTTTATTAACCCATTAAATAAAAGGCTGAAATGCAAAGTGAAAGAATATAAAAAACTACTTTGATCAACAGATACGACATATGAATTCTCTTTCATCTCTTGATATAAATTACAATGTATGGCTACTCCTTAAAAAGTAATAAATAATGGTGGATAATAATTCAAAAAATACTTCTGTACGTCATTACTACGAGCAAGAAAATATTGCAGTAAACACTGATATTGTCACTTCCATCGAAAAGAAAAATTTATGTCTAACTGGTAATGACTTAAGCAACAGATTTATTACTTTTAGGAGGTTTCCACCCAAAAAATAAATCAAGGTTATCTTCGAAATTTATAGCACATCTAGTTTTATAGTAATATTTGAAACATTGATCTCCCAATGATGTCAAGTACAATGTATCATTGATTGCAACGCGTGTACTTAGTAGATTTGCACTAAATAAAATGAGTTAGCCAACTAAACTAGAATGACACCCTCAATGCAAGATGAAAATATTGACCTAGAATCCGTAACATTCCTCGAATAATCATACATTATAGAAATACCAAGGCTCTTTGGAAGTTATTGAGACATTTTTTATACTCCATAATTGAAAGAACAGAGATAAATTCAGTAAAATTGGTCAACATTTTACGCAGAACGAATAAAACAGTTGTGCAAAATTTCTAATTTCTGTAGTAATTAGAAAATTTCTTGTGAATTTATAAACTCGTGTATGTTTAAGGTCCTGGAGCAACGAAGCTACGTTATTTTAACGCCACGTCAGTGGGAGATGTTTTTGCATACAAAACGATCGGGGATCGTTTACTTTCCTGTTTTTGTTCTCACATTTAACATAAGAAAAAACAAACTTTCTCTTTTCGTAAAGGATTCTTTAAAAACACATTTTGTAACAAACTGCTTATGAACTTAATGAAGTAGTGACTTTATTACGATTGATATAAATGAAGAGTATATGTTATGATAGGCTGAGCTCTTATATATTTACCGTAATAATGTTATATCTTTAAAGACTGCAGGATGTTATAACAAGATCTGCAACGTAACTGATATAGAGGATCCAGATGGAAAGGAACAGTGGTATCTAGTAAGTAATTAAGCATTAAATTCATATTTTGGGATGTTTTCGGTCCTATAACACATCTGGCCGTCCAGACAAATTGAATACCGTAGAATATGAATTCAATACTTATATTTACATTCTTTAATTTTTCTTCTTCATAACTGTTTATTTCGGTAATTTTAAATGTGAATTTAGAGCCCTTCAAAACTGGTATGCATTTTAGACGTAAGAGCCAATTGTGACTTCCGAGACTCGTTAAGTTAAATTACGCAAACGAATATTGCAAGGAAAAAAAGTGATAAATTAATTTAAAATGTGTTCGCATGTTGAAAACTGTTTGTTATCTCTTTATCCTTCATGTAATTAAATCACAACATGTAAGAATTAATCACAAAACTAATTGTAAGCATTCTTAGCAAATTAACGAGAACTTATCTACTTGGAAATTACAAAAACAGATTGTCAAATATTTTTTTAATCTTTAATACACTAGTATACTTGTACTACAACTACATAAATAATGGAATTAATAAATAATTATATGAAGGAACCCCAACAAACTATTGATTTTTTTTTTTTGCTTTTCACATATTATGCAATATCCAATAACATTTATTGAAAAAAAGTGGGAATAACCTTTTTGTAGTTAAAAGAGGGCATATCAAAAGAGAACATTAAAAAAAGCAATGTACCTTCATCAGCTGCATACAAAGTGTATATATCTCAGTTGATTTGATGCGCAATAACATGCTCTACGTATTAACAATTTCTTAAAAGAGGTAAAGTATTGACAAAAAAGTTGGTAAAACAAGAATATCAGCAGTTTCATTTCATGTCATCATTTTGTAAGTTCTGTGGGCGATTTGATGACCTTGTAAGCAAATGCAATTTATCATTGAAAAAATGGTATAATATTTTTAATCATTTACGTCGGTATGTTTCTATACATTTTAGTTTTCGACAAATCTGACGAAATATGACATGAATGTTTTGCCAGCATGGTGTGATTGCATTACAGGGAAGGGGGTTAATGTAGCTGTTGTTGACGAAGGTGTAAGCAACCATACAGATCTTCGACTTGTGAGTGAAATAATATATCAACATGTTTAATGTAAATTAATTAAAAGCAATTAAGCTAGGTTTTCTAGTCCAAAAGAGTCAATAATGTTTATTTATGTAAGAGTTGTAATTTGTAACTAGTTCTGCACGCACACATGTCCTTTGACAAGGTTCACGTATAGAGTATGTGGATCAATACAGTTGAACTGAATGGTCCAGGTAACAAGAGCCAATAACCTATTTTATATCAAAAACCTGATGGTTTTAAGTGTATATGAACAAAAGAATCTCACATTAAGCATGTATACATATTTACATACATTGAGAGAGGCCTTCTGTTTGTTGAGATTGATGGCCTCTAAATCGGACTCGGTGGTCAAGACCTAATAAAATGGCAGGTCGAAGCAAGTACATAAAAAACTTCATACAGTATTGGTTTATTAACGGTATGAATTGGCGCAAAACTCTCTGAGTTAAATTTGAAAATATGAATCCCGTTTTCTTTATATACTAATACTGTGTCCCTTAACATTTCCTCTACATTCTAGGTCATCATCGCTAAACTTTCAGCTTGCAGAAATATATTGCGATTTGTAGACCAAATCGCTAGATTAGCATTACTCGTAGGGCATTTACTTGTTTCAAAATGAAATGTATAATGTTATAAACGTAAAGTTTATGAAAGAAAATTTGGATATTTTAAAGGGTATGGTATGTGAATGTTAAATGAACATCGCTTGTTAAAAAATTTACTTTTAACAGGACTTAACCTTGGGCTTTGATCCTATCCATGATGAAATTCGTGAGAATAAGTAAGATTCTTATTTAATTATCTTCTAGCATGCTTTGCATTCCATAAAATCTAGAAAATACTTATTTTTGCATATTTATTTCTTTGTGTATTTAATGCTTGCAACCCTCTGTTATTAGTTTTCGAAAAATATTTATTCTAGTGTTATGAATTTAAATAAAAAATAAATTAGAAGTAAAAAGGAACATTAATTAAAGGAATATCGGAATTGATTACTGTATTAGCCGAATAGAACAACATTTACATTCGGAGTCTGTGTGAAAAATTTGAAACATATGAGCCTCTCCATGTGTTTTTCCAGGGAAATCTTTATTTATACAAAACAAAGCTACACTACTTAGGTTATATTATGCTTTTGAAGTGTCATATATATGATTTGAAATACATCTTTGGATATAAATATTAAAACAACATTATCTCTTAAGTTCACGCAATTTAACTTACAATATTTATGACGTCCGAAATTAATTAGTGCGACAATTATTCCAAAAATGGCCAACATTCAGGGACCACCGATAGTTTTAATGGTTTCATGATTTAATAGATATGATTGAGATCTAATTCTATAAGTAACAATCAAGTAATACCCACAGATCCTTTCTGAAGATGATATTCTTCAAATAAATATATCAGGTTTAAATATTTACAATATTTCCATAAAACAAAACGAATTTGAATCACCATATCTGTACTGGGTTCCGAAACTTCAATAAAACCCGACAACAAAAAGTACATAGCGAGTTTCAGAAAAATTCTAGTAAGCCCCTTTCTTTGTAATACGGAAGCGTAAATGGCTCTACACTTGTTGTATCATAACTTTGTATATTGTCTTATATTTTATCGACTTATCAACATATAAAGGGTTATACTTCCTTATTTATGTACATATATTAAATTGTTTTCAGATTTCTTAACATAATAGATGGCAACTTCTTTTGTTCAATAGATTTTATTGCTTTAAGTTTTATCGACTGAAATAATATTATTAATATTGATTTTCAGATATTGACTAAAACAAGATATTTAATCATATTGATAAAATATTGTTGATATGATAAAATAAAGATATAGTTTTATCAATTTTAATTCATGAATATTTGCGAAAAAGAAGTCAGAATAAAGTGTTTTTTGGATTATTTTGCCAGGGCGAGAATTCCAATGAACCTTCACTTCTCTCGGGATTCAGTGAAAGCTTATGTATCATGTCAGCATGTACGATTAAAGGCTGAATCAAATTAAAAAGTATATTAAAAAAGGGAGATGGAGACAAATTGAACGTTATAGATCCATAGTGGGCTATTGCACCGATCACCACTTTTGAAAAGGGGAAAAAAAGAGTATCTTTGTGCCCCTTATCCAGCTATAACCCCCCCCCCCCAAAAAAAAAAAAAAAAAAAAAAAAAAAAAAAAAAAAAACAAAAAAAAAACTGAGTACAGCAGAGATCTACTGATATGTCCCCAAATTTAAGAAAATTCTCGCAGTTAGATTATTAAATCCCTTGGAAGTTTTTCTTGTTATGAATTTATTTTGGCTGACACTACACTTTTCTCCTTTAAACTTTGTGACTAAGCTTATACAGATTGGCTGAATTCAAAAATTACTTTTATAATATTATTTAAAGCAATAAAAAGTTAGATCTAGTGTTATTATATTTTTATGCAGGGGGGGGGGGGGGAGGACTTCATATCTATTTCTTCAAATCGACAATACTATATTGACATGAATAAATATTTTGTTTAGATCGATATTTGAAAATTAGTATAATATTTCAGTCGATAAAAGTTAAAGCAATAAAATTTATTGAACAAAAGAAGTTGCCTTCAATTATGTAAATACACCTCAATACAATTCAAAATATGGGCATAAATAAGGAGGTATAACACTTTTAATGTTGATAAGTCGATAAAATATAAGACAATATACAAAGTTAAAACATAACAAGTGTAGAGCCACTTACGCTTCCGTATTGTAAAGATATAAAGCAGTTAAGGAGAAATGTAACAAGAACTGTGAAGTCGAGAAAATTAGATGATGTTACTTAAAACCCCCAATAATTTTTGAAAACTTAAAAAATATTTTACAAAATATCGATACCATGAGACGGTACAAGTTAATGCTCTTAAACACATCCAACAACAAATTAAAGTCCAGATTTCATGACAATCATGGACAGGTGTTTTAAAAAAAATAATGGTACTGGTTAATTAATAGGTTATTTGCAAAATTCTTTTATTACAAAAAATTTTGATTGTACGTACGCGTACTTTGAAGTTGATTTGTCAATAGAAAAGAATTGGTACCCTGAAATACCGTTTATCAGGGTTTTTTCCGCGTGTGTCCTATTTCCGCTTTGTTCGCGACGAGTTCTGAATCGCGGAAAAAAATCGGCAAAAATTTAATACAAAGTTTTTCTTCTTGTTGTAAAGTTATTTCTTCATGTTTACCTTGTACATGTAGAGGGTAGAAATATCGGGATCAGAGGATAAGCGCACGATACGGTAATAAGTATAAGCCCTATTATTTGTTTAATTGACAAGCTAATTATATTGGTCACGTTCCTTGCGAAAACCCATTCTAATAATACTTGAGCTGCTAATCAGTTTGGAACATTAATGACCTATGGTTGTTTAAAGCTTTAAAAATAATATCTTGAGATTTGAGATTTTGAACGCAACACGGATGTGTAATTAGCTGATCGAGTCTTCCGAAATAGACGAGGTGAAGGCCGATCGATCTATTTCTCACCCGTATAATCGAAGTACATGTAACTTGAGTTTCACACTTCATATATTCATCCAATTCTTTCGTAGGCTTAACAATTGTTAATGAAATATTTAGTGGGACTTTGAAATGGTGAAAATTTGATTTGCGTTAAGAATGACTGCACTAAAGCTATGAGAGTTGGATCCCGATGTTTTGCGCAAAATAAAATTTAAAAATTCATTAAATTTATGTTTTATAGGTATTAAACAATATCTCATTAGTAGGTTTTGGTATATTATACAACACGAAAGTATTAAATAATGCCGAGCGACACTAGCTTTTGAGACGGGGGTCTAACAGTGATGTCTCATTTCTATTGTTATTCATTTGCATACCAGTTTTCAACGACATTGTTTACATCGCGCCGCAACTTGGCCATTTTTCTTATTTGCACAGAATGTGTATTTTAACTTAAACTTATACATATCCAAAGGACAATGTTGGCCAAGTTGCGGCTCATATCTAATTTAAAAAAATAAATGTACTCTAACCACAATCGAGTTAGCTACTAAATTAGCAGGTCACCGAGTGTCAACCCATATGACCCGTTTGATATTATAATCACTTTTCCCACGTGACATTCAAGTATTCGATACGCTTTCATTGTGTCAGTCGTTGGAAATTTTTTTCTAACTACTTCCATCTTCAAAATATTGAAGATCCTTGCTTTATTCGGTAATAACCAAAATTTGCCCCCCCCCCTCAAATCAAACTTTGATGGAGATATATTTGATTAAGTTCTTAAACAGGGGAGTTTATGCTGACTTCAAAGCACTGAATATTTTCATACTTAATGACGTCATATGTACTAAATGACGTCACAAGCATGACGTAAATTTCAGTTTTTTATGAATTTTACAGAAAAATGTACATATTACGTCGATATTTTGAATAAAAGTCATTGAGCGCATGTGTGTTCAGGATCAATATTTTGATATAATGTGTAGAATGATAATATCAATAAAATATGTCAATATTGTTCCGGAACAAACTTGCGCTCTATAAATTTTAAAGCTAGAATTGTTGAAATTTTGTCCATTTCGTCCTCTTTCTGAAAAAGGATATAAAATCGGACTAGTTTGTGACGTCATAAAAACGAAAATTGTGAATACACGGCTGTGTCACTATGATATTTTCTGTGAATTTATATTTCTCATACAATTTATTGAATTCAGCATATTTCAGGAAGTTTTCAAAATTTGACTTTTGTGGGGGCCAATATATGCAATATATTCCGCATGTAGTTCTTTTATTGGCGTTTTAAAGTTTACGTTGACTTCTTTCACTATAGTGTTTTTGTTCGGGGTATTTTAAAGGGAAAAGGTATTATTTTGCTGATTACATGCTGTACATATATTTATTACACACTTAGTAATAAATACAGGTTTTTTGCATATGCGATATGGCTGACGTCACAATAGCCGTATCAGCCCTGCAGGGCTGATACGGCTATTGTGAAGTCAGTATCACACCCTTAGTAAATTAAACAACAAAAACAATACTTGTGATCATACACAATTTTTGGTGGGTTCATAATCTCTTAATTTTAACTTTCTGAAAATAAGGTTAATCTTTATTTACAAATACATGTAATAGATTATTTTCAAATTACGGATCGAGTGCATTGAAATAGAATAAGAAACAAACCCAAATCGTATGAGACAATAGACCATATGCATGTATGTAAGAAGTCCATACATGATTATTTACTTTTTTTCTTGTCAACTTAATGCATGCTGTATTTTATTACTAAGTATGTAATAAACATATTAATACATACCTTTTCCATATCACATCTTGTATCAACCCTCGACCAATATCAGCCCTCGGGCCTTCGGCTCTCTGGCTGATATTGGTGTCTAGGGCTGATAGGTACAGGATGTGATATGGAAAAGGGTATGTATTTTTCTCTATATAGCACTGTATAGAGGTAATATTTTGGCTTGGGTGGGATATTATTGGATTTTTACGAGTAGCGCTGACTTTTACAGTTGACGCTTACTTTTACAATAGGGCTATGTATGGTAGCTTTTTTATGATATAAATATTTTACTCAACATTTAATTAAACGAAAATAACCGGATATTTCAATGCACAAATAAGTTGTCCTTGAAGAAAACGACAACCACCCTACCTTAACTCCTGATATTCACATGTTAGTGACCCTAACACAATACCTATGACCACTAGAAAGATATTCTTATGCATTATCAATTCTGTACTTCCGTACATGATACAAGTTTAAATGTCATAGTAACCGTCAACTGTAGAAGTCAGTGCTTCTCGTAATGGTCCATTAGTAGTATAAACATTTATTAAAATCAAGGTAAGTACATTTGGGGCTAGTTCTTGGGGTGGTTGTAGCTTTTCGTAATTTGCTAGGACGTTTTGATCCGACGCATATTTTGGGTTTCCCGGCCACAACAAAACAGGGACTTTATCATTATAACCATATGGCAGGCGGGGGTATCATTAAGTGAGCTCATTGCTCACAATACCTCTAGTCTTAATATATTTTATGCAAAATTCCTAATTTATAGCTATTATAAGGTCTTGATGGGGCTAATCTGATCAAAGCCATTACAAAAAAAAAATTATGAAAATATAGTTTATTGTACCAACATCACAATACAATTTACTTCAACAACATAATCAATGTACTTGAAATTAATTTCTTTCCCAATCATACGACACGATTATTTGTACATCATTAATATCTGAGCTGGTTAACTATACTTTTTATTTTATTTTTACGTTACTAATAAGTCCACAATTATTATTTAAGATGATTAAGATAAAGGGAAGTGTCATTTTTTTTATTACACTGTAGGTACGATCACATAATTATTTTAAGATTTAGTTGATTCGCTGCTTGACAGCAAATACATGAGCAGTGAGATTTAAAGCGTTCCCAAATTCCGGACTTGTGTTAATTTTAAAACATCGTTTGGTAGGGAAAATTATGTAATGCTTGATAATGTAGAAGGCGAAATTCATTTTACAATGCATTGTCCTTTGCACTCTGAATACTGATCAAAACTTTTTGAAAAGTGACAATAAATCAAATGGCATGGTCAGATATGGATTTACTGTGTGTACGTATCTCAAGTTATCCCATAGGCAAATTGCAAAGTATTTTTCATTGATACGAAGACAGTCCTTTATGTTCACAAAAAATATTTAAAATGTATTTCATTGTCATTTTTATCTAGCAAATATGCTTAAAACAGACACTACCAACCTAAGCATACAAAATGCACATAGGCGTCGGAACCGGGGAACATTTTTTGTAAGCATTGTATAGGCATTAAACATTGCGGCATTGGTTTAGCCCCCCCCCCCCCCCCCCCCCACTTTCCATAGACACGTTGAAGTAAAGGCAAAATAAGGGGAAATTGTTGGAAAGTAGTGGGATTTAGAAGAAAATCTGGTACTGAAAGAACCTCGCCTCCCCCCACCCTGAATAGGATTTTCGTGTTTGGACAATGGACCCCCCCTTTTGAAATTTTTTTTTCTTGTCAGGTTTGTAGGTCTAAAAAATTCTATTGAACTTAGCCCCCGTCCCCACTTTCAATTTGCTTCCGACGCCAAAGATGCACATATATTTATAACAATTGTGTTTATTTTAATTAACGGTTTTGTTTTTCTCTTCATGTTATTCTCTTTATTTTCTATAAATTGTATTTCAATTTTGTGTTTAAAGTGGCATATAGGCCCGATGGGCCGGGTGGGGTGTTGATTGTTTTCTTTTATAAAGTCTGTAAACAATAGAATTTAATAGTTATGTACATATCTGTCACTATAAATAAATAAACTACAGTAACGTACTTACTTTACTTACTGACGGGGATACAAATAAATGAAATTATATGCATGGTTATAAATCATTTATTTTTTGTATACAATGAACACAAACAGTCCTCTCCGCCTTTTTCATATATAATATAGATTGAATACGGAAATCCATGTGCTTATGATCCATTTCCATGCGATTTAAATGCCTCTGCCCCTTTGCTGCGACCTTAAAATCGAAAGCGGCCCAGTTCAATATTCCGGAATTTATACCTTATATATGTTCTTTTCAAAAGCGTTGTCTGTAATTATGGAAATATAAATGACTGTAAAATCGAGACACACATATCAAAAGCATATACATGCACAATAATCATTTATTAGTTTAGCGATACATTAAAATCAAAAGCTTCATTAACATGGATAGCCGAAAGGTTCCAAATAACGTCCTTAAGTGCAGTCATTCTTTGATATAATGATTTAAGCTCGGATTCGCGGAAAAAAACCTGATGCGGAAAAAAACTTGATTTACGGTAACCAGAATTATTTTAAAAAGCATTATATTTGAAACAGAATAATCCAAAATACTAGAAGAGGGATACTTGCATATAGATATATCGACGTTGTTTTATCAATTGACAATAGTTATTCACATTCGCATGTCGACATGATATATCTCTATTAGTTTTGAAATAAAAAAATCCGACACGTCAGTTTCATACTTCTTTATTTTAATTGAAAAAGACGTGATAGTTTACTTAACAACAGAGCATTATGATTAACTCATGAATTTATCATTTAATCGTCAATTTCATTACTTATGTGGCAATTTGATTCTTGTCTAACAGTCAAGCTATACGATAAACGTGATGACTTTAACTTTTCTATAGTCAACTTACCTTACTTATGCAGCAATATACCTTCATCACCTACATACGGAGTATATACATCTCAGTTGATTATATACGCAAGAGCATCCTCTACGTATAAACAATTTCTTAAACGAAGTAAATTTTTGAGAAGCAAGTTGATTAAATAAGAATATCAGCAGACTTATTTAACGTCATCATTTCGTAAGTTTTACGGTCGATACTGACCTTGTCAGGAAATACAATTTATCATTGAGTCAAATCCTGCCTGACGTTTTTCATTCTGATTGTTAGTCCATTACTTATACACTGAATTGACGACGGATTTTTCCGTTATTTCCCGATGATGACAATGAGCACACGGCGGGTGTGACCGGTCAGCAGGGTATGCTTACTTCTCCATGGCATCTTATCACACCTCTGATGTTTCGGAGGTCAGTGTTTGCTCAACTCCTATTTTGTATTGTTTAATGGAATTTGTTATTGAATACTGTTCGTTATCTCCATATCCTTCTTGTATTTCTCACCATAAAAATTGCTTTTTATAACAAAGACTGTTCATTTGTCAGAAATGACTAAATCGCAGAAAAAGTATGGGTAGATAAAAATACGTTTTTCTAAAACTAGCTTGGAAACCATCATAACCTGAATCCTCTGCCTTTGAAGAGTCGTGTATTTAAATACAAAGTAGATAAAGTACGGGTGCCTCCTTTGTATCATATTTATAGAATGATTTAGAGATTTAATAATTATTTAATTGTTAATATATTCAACTATTCCTCTCACTTTAAGTTGGCGATCTTTTCTGTAAAATTGTTTAACAAAGGATATATCTCTTCCTCAGTTTGCATTCACTTAAGAAATGAATTTAGATTTTAAATTATGAATTTTTGAAATCATGAATCTTCGAGAATTTTTTAAATTTATATTATTTTGTTTCTGATGACTTACCAAAAGTTTACGCCAACTGTCATTTATAAAGCAAAAACAGCGTGGACTATATTTTTTGACGTAAAAAAATTGCATTTTTTAAAAAAGAATCATAGGGAAATTTATTGGATATGTAAATATTAGTCAAAAGATTAAACATCATATTTAAACACATTCCTTCCCTCACTAAAACAATCAATCAAATTAATGAATAAACTTCTGGTAAGTATTTTTGTCTTCATAATTTTTATACAAATTATTATGAACTGCTGCAAAGGGATTTACAACCGTTCTTTGCTCTAGATCGACTGGGTCAACCATTTTGTGTCACAAGTGATCTACATTTTGAGGTCATTTTCACATTGGTAACGTCACAAATATGGAACATAATATTTCATTGCATATGCTATCAAAAATATGCATATAACTCTATGTGTGCCATTTTTTGTTTTATAGAGATACTTCGCTATTTTTTTTTGATCACCCCTCGTATTTTAGCGCTGATTTGTAGACGAATTTATCCTTCATTTTTGTGAATTGTCTCGAAAGTTTTTTTTACAACCCACATTTTGAAAATTCATTTGACCTTTATATACAATTTTATGACAAACTAATTTTAATAGTTTATATTTTTAGAACAACTCCTTTCATACTAATATCAAATTTCAGCTAAGATAAGCTAACTCTTTGCCAAAATTATTATTATTTCTTATATTAATTTGCTTAATTGTTTAGCCATGGAACCAATGTTGCAGGAGTGATAGCCGCAAAAAGAAATGGCCTTCTTGGTATAGGAATTGCATATGATGCAACTATAGTAGGTAATTTATCAAACATTCAGTAATTGTGATTTTCAGTGAAGACTGAATGATCTCGGACCATCGTGGTGTGTTCTTTTTGTCCCTTCTCTTTGACATTTTAGCATATTTTGACCATTTCACTTCTATTTATGCATACATTAGATGTAAGAGTCTTAACGCCTGGCTCAACACCCGAAATCATAGGACGGGCACTGGCTATCAACAGGGATCGGATTGATATTTACTCAAATAGTTATACGAATTTTCCCAATGGAATAAGCATATATCCACTCCACCCTCTCATAGAAGAAAGTCTTCGCATGGGAACAAAATATGTATGCAGTTTCTTTTACATCAAACATTCTTTACGTTTAATATTTGTACTACTATAAAACTAACAAGAAACATCTATATTACGTTGACCATATATATCAGTTTTAATCAAATTCAATGTATAAAAGGCAACACAAATATTATTTCGTGTTTTGTAGGGCAGAAAGGAACTTGGTTCGATTTTTGTTTGGTCAACAGGAAACGGAGGTGAAGAAGGGATTTTGAAGGACTACTGTTCTTATGAAGGACTAGTTAATAATCCGTGGGTTATACCCGTTGCAGGTTCGAAGAAGAGATGATCACATAATGAAATGTGATTTTTCAAAAAAAAGTTGTTGATTAACTGTTGGTGTCTTATATATTTCAGGGGTGACATATGATATGAAAAAGTTAACTTCTGGTGAACAGTGCAGTGCTATTTTCATAACAGCTTTGACAAAAAATCCTAATGATACTATTCATAATATTGTAAGGAACTTTCGACAACTAATTAAATAGAAAACACATTAAAAATAATGTTCATTGAATTATAAAGTTTATTTTTATGTTAGAGAGAAAAATTCAATAACGTTTCACTGTACTATAAACCCGGAATTGAGGATACAAAGACAGTTTATGGTGTCTGAACATATTATTCATTTCTATATTTTATAGGTAACAACTGAAGGGTTTAATGGAACCACAATAAACTTTGGACGCAACTCAGCTGCAGTGCCTATGGTGTCAGGAGCAATAGCTCTAGCACTCCAAGCTAAGTAAGCTTTATGATCATAAAATTTGCCATATGTATATTTAAATATTTTGCTCACCCAAACTTAAGTTACAAATAAGCTGCTTATATGATTGCGTGACTTAATTCATGTTTGTGAATTTGCTGACATTTCATATTTTCCTCTCAAGAACCACACGCATTTTGTTAATTAAAACCAAATTTGCCGCAAAACGGTCTTGGATGAACACTAATCAACTTAAAACTCTTACAAACATATTTTTGGTTAAGCAAATGATCTAATAATATCTAAGCTAATCGTTATAAGCAAATCTTTTTTTGTATTGATATGAAGTAGAATTTGTGCAAAATCTTTTGGGTGAAAAGAAGAAAACACTCGCTGTGGCGTTCAATTCGACATTTAGATATATCGAAGACGACGTATTGTCAATTAATAATGTTAATTTTTATTCATATGTCGATACGATACATACTGGTAAGCTGGAGATAAAAGATACCACAGAGCCTGACACATCTGTTTCATATTTGGATATTTTACTTGAAAAAGACGTTAATAGTAATCTAACAACCACGCAATATGATAAACGTGATGACTTTAATTTTTCTATCGTCAACGTCCCTAATTTTTGCAGCATTTACTGTCAGGGCAGCCGTCAAGCTCTGTTCAATTATATATAACAAGATTTTTTTTCTATTTACAATTTTTTTTTATTAAATCAAAATATAAACAGTATATACAACATAGTTTTACAGCTATTATTTACAATAAATAGTACTTAATGTCTCTTTAAAACCTCAATGTTATACTACTGTTGGCACAGAGCCACGTCCATACAGACACGCCTCGTTTCACAACGGACTCCCGGTGGGCATCCCGGTCTGGTTAAGGTCGTCGCCAACATACACATGGCTAAATGTAGATTATAATTGGATTACATCAGGAACCTTTAAATTAAATAACATTTTTGAGCCACAGGTTACGTATACAAAATAAGCAGTAACAAAACAATAATTAATTCAAATTCGTACATAGCTTTACGTCTTAAATGTAGTACAAAAAAAAAAAAAAAACGCTTACATATAAAAGAAAAAACAAACTTACCCTTCATGGAGAAATAATTACCGTTGAAAAAAAAAACGTATCCATACATCTTGGATTGTAGTAACTCCAGCATGTAAAAATTTATGGAAACGTGTATCCTGGCTATGTGGTCAGCTATGCAGCACTTTAAATACCCTCTAAACAATAGTCTGTAATTGACCAATGCCTGCAAAACTTAAGGTTCAATGAAAGTAACAATATAAATAGGTCCAGTAAAGGTTAAATAAAATAAAAACCATAAACATAATGTAAATACAATTAAAATTAAATATTGATTGTGACATATACCGTCTCTAGCTCATCAGGGTATATCATATCGGCATTAGAATGGAAATTACTATTGTTAATTGACACTACATCGTCTTCGATATATCTAAATATCTACAAATTCTGCTTCGCTTGAATACAAAAGCATGTCTACTAATAACAGGGCGCAATGGGTACCCATGGGAATTCCGATAGACTGTAGGAAGATCAGGTCTCTAAAAACACAATTGTCAATCAGAACCTCAAGCATATTTTCTTGTCGACTTCAGGGTACTTGTTTGTACAATCACAATGTTTTTAACAAAGTAATTTAGCAAACGACCAATGACAAGACAATTTGTTCCCATGGGTATTCAAATGGATTGTTGGAATACCTGGTCTCCAAAAACCACATATTGTCAATCAGAAACTCAAGCATCTTCTTGATGTCAACTTCAGAGTACTTATGTGTGCAATCAAAATCTGTTTTAACAAAATAATTTTGCAAATGACCAATGACGAGGTAAGTAAATTTACGAGTTCCACTTTTACTGAATAGGTAGTTGTTAATGATATCGTAAAGCCTGGATTTTAATTTATCGTGGAGAATGGTTGCTCATAAAGTTGATAAATCGTTAGTGTTAAGCTGTTGATTTTGATAAAATCTTGTGGTTTCAAATTTTCCAAATGTTATTCTGAATTTTTTAGTATTCACATCTGATGCACACCACTTCTTGAATATTATGTCGCACAGTACTCTTGAAATTTCTCCTTCACTACTGTTAGTATCTTAGTGAGAAGTAAAGACAGAGGCTTAGATGAACATTTACTGGAACCCGCTATGGATCTTTGTTTGTAAGAACTCTTATGAAGTTTTGGAATCCAAAATATATATATGGTAGTTCAAAATCATTTTTTTTCTTTAGGATATTAAAAGTATTTAAAACCTACATATGATTTTCAAGAATTTCCTCCTCAGAAAGGGAAATATGAGTATAAGTTGGATTGCCACTTGTAAAAATAAAATCCAAGTTCTTCTAAAATACAATCCATATAATGAACCTTTCGAACAAAGACAATGTTGATACCTGCTTTGTCAGCAGGGACCATTACGTACTGATCACATAATCTATCTAATTCTTTTTTTTTTACTTCTTGATTATTGAACACAGAAGGATAGATGGTTTACCTATTGCCCCTTAAATTTTAATGCGCGATTTTATCATGGATCTTTTTTTGAGAGAGTGAGTTATTTTATGCCACAAAATGTATTAATTAAGGTTTTTAATAGTATTGTATTTCCGCATTTTCTTACTGTTTCACTGTTTTGTGCAATGTGAAAAATCAAAAGTATTTAGAAAAGTTAAGAGTTCAAAAGAGGGCAGCTAGGATACTCTTAAATATTCGAGATATTTTAACTCCTCCTTTTTTTATTTTCCTGTTTAAACTGGATGCCAATCAAACATTATTTTATGTTTAGACAGGTCATTTTTTTTATTCTAAGGTTTTAAACACTTAAATGCCAGATTATTTGAATGTGTTTCAATATACAATAGATGTCAATCGTCGCCAAACCAGGTCGAATGCTTTTATGTCAAATATATTTTATTTACCAGAAGCCAAAACAGAAAATAACAAACGTTCATTTAGATATTCATCTGCATATTTATGGAATAAACTATCACAAAATGTTCGAAATTCTAGGTCAGTGGATTTTTTTTTTATTTGTGTATCCCACTGAGTATTTCAACAGACTCAATACTTAAAATGGATTTTTTTTTCAATCTTTGAGTGTAAATTCTTCAAAGATATGTCTCTTCATGTTTATATACGTATGTTTTGTACTTTTATATCTTATGTGTATAATAAGATGCCAATTTTGTATGTCCTTATGTTTTAATGCAGGACCACGGTGAAAACTAGCTTGATGCTATTTGTGTTATCCTTGAAAAATAAAGATTAATAAGGTCTTCCGTCTTCACGGAAGACCTTATAGTGATTGTACTGTTTCTTATTAAGGTCTTCCGACTTCCTTCGGAAGACCTTATTGTTTTCCGTCTGTTTCCTATTATTATTATTATTCTTTTTTTCATTTTTCTGGCGATATCTCAGCTGTGACTGTACGGATTTCAAAGATTTTTACAGGAAAGATGCACCAGGTTATTATCTCCAGATGTGTTTTTCATTTTTTTCAAAATTTACTTCCGTTCGCGATTTTTGGGGAAATTTGTATTTTTTAAATGGATTTTTGTACACTACTTTTCTCGAAAACGGCTAAAGATATGACATTGAAACTTATGGACATGAAAGAACATCAAATGTAGATGTGCCGAACGTCCTTCATTTTTTGTCGTTCCTACTTCCGGTCGCAAACGCAAGTGAATTCAAAAAGTCCAATTTTTCAACTTTTTTGTTTTTCAATATTTTTCTTTCGGATTTACAGGGTTTATAGAGCGTCTTCAAAGATATCTATATATGTTTTCATTTTTTAATGCGTGCGTTTTTTGCAAAGATATGACCAAACCAAACTTTATCTTACTGTCGGGGGTTCAAATCCCTTTGGGCGTTTCCCAATTTTTTTCTTTCTTTTTGTCTTTTTTCAGTTGCAAATTACTTTTCACTCTTTTATAACATGTGTGGAACATTTTGCCGATTTTTAAAAGCTATATTTGGAGGAATTTTGTGAAATACCTGGAACAATCACGATCTATGTTGAGAAACTACTCTAAATGAACGTAAACAAAAAATACATTCTGAAATCTATTTCATGGCATGACGCAGCATAGAACTCTAAAGAAAAGTCGGTCGGAAGACCTACTTGTTGCCCTAGCAACAAGAACGCATCTAGTTATTATTCTTTTTTTGACAAAAATTTTGTGCACGCGATTTCTCGAAAACTATTCAGCGGTTTCTCATGAAACTTTCACAAAATATGTGTCATTATATGAAGTTGTTACATCCGAAGAAAAATTTGGAAAATTCGCTTCTGGTGCCAAGTTATGGACAATTTCCTGATTTTAAAATGCGATTTTGTCGCGCACTTTTATCAAAAATGGTTAAGAATATGAACTGGAGACTTATTGGAGATGATAGATCATGACTTTCTGGTTTGCAGAATCACCTTTTCGTGCGTCGTCAGTACTTCCGGTCGTTACGAGATGCAAATTTAAAAAAATTGTATTTTTTAACTTTTTTGTTTTTCAGTATTTTTCATTTATTTTTGGTATCTTAATAGAAATCCTCCTTATTATGCTTACTATTTAATTTGTTTGAATGTTGATAAATCTAAACTCTAGATATTAGCATTCAAAAATCTGAAGCGGGTCCAAAATGGCGGCTGTCTCAGTCAACGCCGACATTTCGCAATAGTGGTTTATGGAGTCAGCCGTGCGTTTGCTTGAACAAAAGTAACAAAAGTGTAAATGGAATGTAAAGGAATACTTGGATTGTCACGTCGTAGTTACGTTGCAGTTCTGTGTCAAACTAACGTCTTCTATAATTGGATTTAGCTGGTTTTCAAATTAGAGAAAGAAAAGACTAAATGTGCAAATGAAATTCGATACCTAATATCTTTTGTACATTACAGAAAAACAGATCTTAAATCATACTTATAAGTAATACTTTCTCAAAAAAGAATATCAATTAATATTGTCAGTATATATCTCAACCACTCGGTTTTTCCTATGCACACTTGTGTCATATAAAACTTATAAATTTTACAAAAATAAGAAAACGATTTTTTAAAATATCGCCTCATGGAGTTTATTTGAGCACTCTTCTCTCAAAGACCTGATTCAAGTTATTTAGCATAAATGATATCTGATTCCTTGACCGTCGTAGGGCAAGCCATGTTTTTCGGCGAAACGTTTCAACCTTTTTCGATTAACTAATCGGGATAATTCACTTTGGGGAGAAACAGGAAATTGAAAAAAATTCATAGCTTTAGTGTTACATGCATATATACAATTGGAATTTGTAAAATGTGTTAAATATACTTTCTAAACCTCGAATCTTAGGCTATAAGAACGTTGTTTTCTTAAGTTCATTGAAGCTATCACACCTAGAACATTCCAAAGAAAAGGGGCAAAGATTAACTCGTGGCGTTTGGTGCTAAATTTTGAATAGTGACCCGTCTTTCATAATTTTAAGAGAGAAGCACTGTTTCGTTAATACATACAAGTAGATTTAGAGTAGAGGTCCCGATAGCGTTATATTTAGTGCGTTGGAATTTCATGCTGGCGACTTGGGTTCAACCCCCTTGTGTGCAATTTTTTTTTTACTTTTTCAGCTCGATTTTACTTTTTCTTTCCGGAATTGGACGGAAGACCTCTCGTTGCTCGCAACGAGTTTCTCATCTAGTTACTATTATTTTTATTATCTGATACATTTAATCCACCCTGACATAGTTTTAATGTCTTTTTGTCATACCTGGCTCATCGTCCAGTGTAATCTTCAACGGAATCCATAATTTTTATGAAATTGCGACACCAGTTGAAAGTTTGGGGTTCCCTTTATTTAGAACCTTTAAAACAAGTGATCTAAGGTCCTCATTGTTAACTTTAATTGTGAAAAGTTGAAGACCGGAATGGAATATTAATAATATCTTGACATAATTATGTCTATAGCCATATCATATTCCTTCATTTTGGAAAATGTGAGAATAAAGAAAACAATGATCGATGTAAAAATACATAAAAATAAGCCAGGGAAAATCCATTTTTTGATTCCTCGACACTAGAATATAAGCTTGTATCTATGATTATGGATATTGCATAACATAGATTTTTAACCCCCCCCCACGATTTACTGAAGAAAATACAACTGAGTCAATCCGTCTTTTCCTTAAACTCCAATATGCCAATAAAGGAATTGACGCGGTTAATATAGGTAATATTCTTAATCACAAAGGGTCCAATCTTGTATTCTACCACATTTCAAGTTAAAGACTACACTTTGTATTTCTTGCTAACATACATCGAGCAGTGCTTCAAAACTGTTTATTAACCAAAAAACTTTACATGGCCTGGCTATTGAGTATCTGAATATAATTTTTCATCGTGTTTTTCTTCTTCACCCTATAACTATTGTGCTGCTGTACACGTTATTACAGGTTACGTAAATAAAAGTTGTTTGTATACAAAGAGTGAGAAATGACACTTGATAGTCTTTTTATTGTATCGCCTATTCATTATATGCATAAACATTTTTCAAATTCACATTTGCTCATTATATAGGCATAATATGGTATAGAGGTACAATTTTAAACATTTTAATCGGTGTACGTGTTATATATTTTCAGTCCTAATCTAACATATAGAGACGTGATGTATCTTCTGGTGAGCACGGCAAGAAATACACTACCTTTCGACCCATACGATTTTCAGACTAACGGCGCTGGAATTAAAAGTACATTTTTGCCATTATATAAAAAGTAAAAAGTTTTCTAATACAGGTGTTGCTATTTGCCTTACATTAAAATCTTTATGATCAAAATATGTCCGACGTTTGTTTATTCGTCTTTTGTTTGTCATGTGTATACTATAAATTTTAAACATGTACTATTTCAATAATTGACTCAAGCTTTAGAAGAGTATTGAAAAATTCATCGCCACTTTTTTTCGAAAACCACTAGGTTAAGGAAAAAAAAAATGCAAAACGAATGTGAAAGCTATCATAAAACAATCTGGTTCATATTTGCTTCTGCACCTAGATCTCCCAGTGTTTCGATTGGGCATAAAAGAAGATGAAATTTTAAAAAATGATGGATATAGAATTTTTTTTAAATTAATGAGTAGTTTAATAGATACGCAAGTATTCGTCTAATATTACTTCAGATCCATTTTGATAATAGTTTCTAAGAGATGGTGAGGGCCACTGTAGGGGATTTACGTTCTACAAATGAAATATCTCGAGAAAACGAAAAGTAATTGAAATAAAATAAAAAAGCCATAAAACAATACAAAATAGAATCAGAGGTACACGAGGACCTTCGAATCATCAGAGATGGAATCAGGTGCCACGTAGGAGTTAGCACTGTCTTGACAAACCCTGGCTATATTGAATCGGGAGTACAAACGTCGAAAAAAGTAGGCAAACTGCGTGCACCCGTGCCCCGGTTAGAGGAACACGGACAACATAATGTTTACCAGCTCGAAATATATATTGCCCAACTGGCTTCCTTTAGTTTTAGGATTAATGTTACGTTTATGATAGCCTCCTCTATTTAGAGAAGTTTTGTGGTAGTAAACAGTCTATTAAACAGGTTGAACGATAAATAATCCTATCTTGACCTTGCTCTGTTTGACGTTAACATCATCGTCACGAGTGGTTGGAAACCCTTTCAGATCTTCTCTGACAAAGAATAAGATCTTCTATGGGAGAAAAAATTGCCAACAGCATGCATCAAATTGTACAAAAACTTGTCATCACGTTTCAATGTTTTTGGCTCCTCAGTACTTACCCTACGTTACGTCAATATATTATGGTTGCGTTATTCTAAACACAGATTTTAGTTCATAGTAACCAAGATTCTCATCTAATAATTTTTCGAACTTTTTGATCATGCAACAAAAAACAATTGGAATTATGTGACCCTGCATATCTTTTCCTTTCCATATATTTTACATTACCTACTAAACAACCCTCGTGTTTAATTGCCGAATTGAAGGCGAGTTGAAGGCAACAGCAAGTGTGTTTCCATGCATAAGATTTTGAACAAAATCTGCTGAATTCTTTTGAATCCAAAAGTACCATATAACGGATATCTTTACATGCCGCCAATCTTTACTATTTGCTTTAAAACCATAAAATTTAAATGTGTGAAATTCTCCTGAATTAAAAAATAACCTGTCGTAAATTGTCAACATTTTTTGAGAGTAATGCTGATACCGGTAAGCATTTAGCTCAGTACCGGGAAGGTATAAAATGCGTACCATTGTTATTTTTCAGCACTGTTAAATTGATCATTAGTTGAATCCTATTTAACCTGCATAAGCTATACAAACATCGTCAATTATCTGTTTACTGTTTTCTACGGGACGAAAAATTTCTGATGAATTATTATTAATTATTAAAATCTTTCAATTTTACTCTTTTTTAAGCTTTTTTTTCTCACTTTCATATGTTTTATATTCTTCAAATAAAAAACCCCTACTTTTTAGTACAATTTATACTGACAATTAATTCATGATTGTTTCATGTTACCGGTAAAATGAAGACGAGCACGTGATGAGCAACAGTACTGAAAACTTTTTAAAGCTATGCGTATCAAAAAATTAAAAAAAAAAAAAAACATGTGGTGCATAAAAAATGAACACTCATAGCATAATGAATGAAGTATTATTACGTGAACAACGTTTTTAACATTTGGTTGCCCAGCCAAATGTACGAGGGCTGTCCGATAAAATTGTTGGCAAGTTGTCTAGTGTAAAAATAATCATCACTACGTTCTGAAATTTTTACACTCTTTAGTACATATTCTATGAATAAACATAGTAAATTTCACATAGATATATGCATAAATAAATTATTACATTCAATGTTATGTATTGTAAGGCCTTACGTCGCACGAATGATAACGTTAAAGTGTCTAAAACAGCACCGCGTTTCTTCTTTGTTAAAAATAAAGTTGAATAGTCCCTCCACAATATAAAAATTTCATTGTGCACATGCGTGGGTCTCCATAAACAGTTGAGAAACCAATCTGGCACACTAATGCGATCTTCTGAAGATATTTAGTAAGTTACGGACAAAATTTTCACCATCATTTAACTAAATAGACAATCTTATATCGACGGTTGACATTGACAGTGTCTTTTTGCTATTACAGTAGCAGTTTGTCTTGTACTACCCTGTGACTCGATCTAAAAGAGTTCGCAAAGAAAAATATTTTATTTTTAGGCTCAAAATCTGATCTGGTTCTGGTGATTTTTATTATTTTTTTACTATATTCATTTAGAGTCTCAAAAGGTGTCATTACAACATCTAAGTAAAACTGAACTGTTCTCCGGCGCGCCGTGAAATAATCAAACATTGCCATTTTTAATTGTTGAGCTTTTCACTTTCCCACTGTGATTGCTCGGGAAACTTTCAAAAATTAACCTTGACATTTTTGAAAAGACGACAAAATGGATTATGGCATCAAATTAGTAGAAGTTTAAACCTAATCTTATCTTTTTTAATTTTTTATTTCAAATTCATAATTGTGTATTTTGTAAAGAAAATCTTTTTTTACCTCGTGCCGAGGACCAAGGACATTCAAGCTTAATAAAATCTTTATTTTTGTCTATATTTTATTGAAAAAAATATGATATACTTAGATATGATAAAGAAATACTGAAAAGATTAGTGTAACCTTTATTTTTTGCATTGAACAGGAGCCATTTGTTGATAATATTCTTTACTTTAAACGTTTTTACATGCTTGTTAACACTTTAGACATGATGCATTAAAACAATATTTGACTTTACTAGGGATGATAATATGAAATCTCATTTCAGCTTCACCAACATTTGGATTTGGACTTCTGGATATAGGTGCTTTAGTACAGAAAAGTAAAACATGGACTAGTATATCACCAGTAAAGACCTATACTTTAAAAGGAATGCCAGTAAGGTATAAAACATATTAAATATTAAAGAATTAGGATTGAATTTTACCACGAAACAAACTTATCATTGAATGGAAAATATGATGACAATTTAAAATACCGATCGTTTTAACAGCACAAAAAACTATAAAATTACTTTCAAGATTGGTTTGAGAATCATTGGTAAGATGAACAAAGAAACCTACTTCTAATTAAGGTACTCCGATCCTCAGGTTCTGAAAATCAAGCATTGACTAATTGAAAATGCTCACAAAAATGTCTATGAATTTTCAAAGTAACGTGTTTTTACCCATAATAATTCTTCAGACTTTATCTTTCAAGTTAATCATATTATATAGAGAAAATTAGCAAATCTTAAATATATTTCAGGAATTGCGAATAAAAGCACCTGCTATCCATTTTCCAATTCAAATTTGATCAATTAAATCATTTCAAAAATAAAAATCGTAGGTATCCAGGCTTTTGAAGAAATTCCACAATTTTTATACATATATTGTTCTTTACTTTTTTTTATTTACTTCGATCATTTTACAATTCAAAGTGTATAAAGATTATCCTGTCATTGCAAAGCTCCATAAATAACTTCTAATTTCATTTCATGTTAATAAACATTGAAATCTCCGGTTATATTAAAATAAACATCAATTTCTTGATACATGTATATGTAATTTTAAAATGCTTTTATGGGGTAAAAAATTCGACTTTAAATAAGACCTTTCTGAGAACTTCAAAGAATCCTGAAACACATTGAAAGGTATATAATGAAAATTGTTGCAAGAAAAAAAAAATAATTTTCAAGCTTCCTTTTGAGACTTTTTAAATTAAATTATAAATTAAAGAATTGTCCTTCCTGGCTGAGAATCGGAGTCCCTTAATTTGAGAAATTATGAAATCGATATCTGTATATGAAACCTTACAGATTTTGTAACCTTTAGATTATTTGTAAAATTCTTTGCTACAGAATCTGATAAATTTTACATATAATTATGAAGATTTTGGAGATATCTATAAAGTGTTAATTCCCTTTGTAAATGTACGAATGGTAAATGAAGCCATACCCCGATTGGTCAATATTCCTTACATAATTGACATTTTTCATTTGATGACTTAAATTTCCACTCTTTTAAACAAAAATCAAAGACAATTTGTTTTGACAATTTTTTCAACACGACGTGAGACTTATTCCTTCGAATTTGACCACATATTTAGGCCAATATTGTTAAAATCAGTATACTATTCAAAGCATGATATTGAATGTTTGCAAAGTAATCAAACCATAAACTGATTGGCATATTTTATCATTGTTTCGTCGTTTTAACAATAATTTTCGACTGTTTAAATGATTTAATTCGAGAAACATCAATGAGATAGATCTTTAAAAAAGTTACTCCCTATTTCTTTACCTTTAACAAAGACCGCTTGGTAAACTTTTATTAACTAGCACATGTACTCGTTATTTTGAATGGTAATTATATTTGCATTTTATCTAAAAATTATATTACATATCGTATCAGAAAATATTTTCTTTGTTCTTAAAAATAGATTAAAATGTATTCCGTATTCATTAACAATAAGAATGAATTGCATAGCTATCTTTATAAGATGGTATTCTTTAAATTAAGCAGTAACAAAGAAAAAGTAAGTACAAATGATCAATTTCTAAAACGAGGAAAATTATTGACAATCAAGTTGATCAAACAAGAATATCAGCAGTCTCGTTTTAAGTAATGAATTCTTAAGTTCTATGGTCGATACAATGACCTTGTCACAAACACAATTTATTATTGAGTCAAATACTGACTGGCGTTTTTCATACTAATTGTCCCCTGCTTTTGCGAAAGCGAGGGGACATTAAATCTCATGCGTCTGTCCGTCAGTCTGTTTGGCTGTCTGTCTGTTAGTCTGTCCGTCTGTCAGTCAAAAATTTTAATCTTGCCTATAACTTTTGATTTAGCTGAGCTCATTTTTCAAAAGTGTATTCCTTGTGACAAGACCTGTCTTTGGGTACCACCAAATTTGACCTTTTGACATGACCTTGGAGTTTGACCTACTTTTACACAAAAATTCCTAAGTTTAACTTTATTCATATCTTTTGAATTGTAGAAGCTAGGACTTTCATATTTCACAGATGTATTTTTTGTGGCAAGACCTTTCATTGGATACCAACAGGGTAGCAAATAATTATTGCGATTAAACGCAAAATTTATTGCGATTAAACGCAATAATTATTGCGTTTAAACGCAATAATATTTTTGCTTTTAATCGTAATGTTATTGCAATTAAACGCAAAATTATTTGCATTTAAACGCAATAATTGTTTTCATTTAAATATAATACGCTTTGCATTTTATCGCAATAATCCTTCGGTTTAAGGATTTATTTTGATTTTAAACACAATGATTCAATGTTGTAGTTTGAAATCAAACATCGGCTAGCCCAAAATTATTATGAATACTACGGTCTGATTCTTGTGACTGCAACGTGGAGTGATATTTTCTCCCATAATTATTTCTTCTCTAGTCTTTTATTTCGAAATTCCTTTAAAATTGTTTGCATAGTTTTGCATGCTAAAGCTTTGTTTCTTTCTAAGGTTGTCTCTGTTTTAACAGACCGACAATTCGTTCTTCTCTTTATATCCATACCATGATTTAACCATTCAGAAAAAGCTTGTTCAGAAGAATCTATGAAACATAACAATACACAATTCTCCTTATAGATTAATGTACTAAAGAAAAAAGAAACACATATTGCGTGGATCTAGTGCACTGTACAAAGATCAATAGAAATGCTTGCTTTTAAAAAAACAAGGATTATTGCGTTTAAATGAAAAAACTATTGCGTTTAAACGCAATATTATTACGATTAAAAGCAATAATTATTGCGATTAAACGCAATGATTATAATTATTGCGTTTAATCGCAATATTTTTTGGGTTCAAACGCAATAATTATTGCGTTTAATCACAATATTATTGCGTTTAATCGCAATTTTTTGCGTTTAAATGCAAAGTTTTGCGTTTAAACGCAATAATTATTGCGATTAAACGTAAAGTTTCGCGATAAAAAGCAATAATTATTGCATTTAAATGCAATAAAAAATAAATATTTCTTAACCTGGACTGGCCTCAACGGGCTTCCGTACTCAACACATTTATGTGAACATTTGTTTTTGTAGGTTAACAGGCTCTATATGTGTTGAAGTTAAAGAACATTTTTACAATTTTGACAAGTTGGAACATGTGTCGCTTTTCATAAGTCTTAGATCGGATCGAGCTGGTTTTCTAACAGTTATTTTGATATCGCCTTGTGGGACGAGATCAACCCTTATTCCAGGCAGAAAGATAGACAGGCGAAAACAGCTAGAAATAAATGTAACATCTGTTCAATTTTGGGGGGAAAATCCCATCGGATTGTGGATTATTCAAGTGGAAGACAATGTTAAAATAGAAGGTATGATATATAGTGCTTACATTTGTCGAAAAATAAAAATCATATTTTGAGTTATTAATTAATTTTAATGCTTTAATAATTAGGAAATGTAATTACATGGGAACTTAATCTTCTCGGAATAAAGAGCAATGTACTGCCAATGCAATGTTTGAAAGGAAACCGTACTTGCAACAATGAGAAGATTGGAGCAGAAAATTTCCATGGTAAGTCTTTCAAACAGTTCACAGAACATAAATTTCAAAAATTTATTCAAAGACATATGCGAGTTGTCGGTGAACAATAACAAATTTCCATATTTACAATATAATGTTCTTCACAGTTATTGAATATAGATTTCTCAAGAAATTGCTTAAGATAAAAGCTTGAGATATAAAATACCACAGAGACTGACACATCTGTTACTTACTTGGATATTTTACTTAAAAACGACGTTAATGGTAATCAAACAACCAATCGTAATAAATGTGACGAATTTAACTTTTCTATAAAAAGTTTCCCTTAATTATGCAGAAATATACATCATCTGCATACGTAGATTATATGACACATGAATATGCTCTACATATGAACAATTTTTGGGGTAAATTATTAACAAACAAGTTGAGGAAAAAAGAATAATAGCAGTTTTGTTTAAAGTCATCATTTCGATACAATGAACCTATGAGTATAGTAATAATTTTTCATATATTATTTATACACCGAATTGACAAAGGGTTTTCCGATATTTCCCAATCATGACAAGGAGAACAGGGGGTGTGACTGGTCAGCAGGGGATGCTCACTCCTCCATGGCATCTGATCCAACGTCTGATGTTTTGAGGTCCGTGTTTGCTTTGCTCCTACTTTGTATCTTTTTTTGTTTTATCTTGAATGCTGTTCGATTTCTCCATTTGTTTAACGATTATTATTTTTTACAAAACAATGGAGAGAAAATTCGGGTGAGCGTTGTGGCCCCTGGGCCTCTTGATATAAAGGGAATCATTTCCCGCGAAAAAAGACTACGATGACTATGACGTTTCTTCTGGATTTCGATATAATGGCCCCTGCATACGGGGTTCTTGTGTTAGGACAGATTTCTATTTATCATGTAGGAATTTCAGTGATTGTTCCCTATAACTTAACTACAATAGTTAAATACGTCAATGATTGTTATCAGTAAAGTACATACAGTTACTGCATGATTTATTTAATCATTATTAGGATATTTCACAAAAGAGTATTTAGAAGAGAGATTGGGGAGAAAGAAAGAAAGATAGAAGAGAGAGAGAAAGAGAAAGAGATGTATAGAGTTATAAAGAGAGATTGATTGTGTAATGTTTAACGTCCCTCTCGAGAAATTCATCTATATGGAGACGCCACCAATTGCCGGTGGAGAGCTGCAAATGTTCTCCGAAACTCGGCACTCAGGATCATTTTTGGCTAGAGAGAGAAAAAGAGAGAGATAGATAGATAGAGTTTAGATTTGGTTTTCGTAAATTAGACAAAACTAACTGGGATGTTAAAAATTACGCATCTACAATCCTATTAAGGCGTGTAAAAAACAATTTGAAAAAAAAATGTGTTACAGACTAAAGATGTAAAATCAAAAATAACATAAAAATATGAAAAATGGAATAGTTTCTTTTTTATCATCGTAAATTTCCCTTTTTTATGTTGTGACATTCAACACTCATGTGTATTTCGTGTTTATGGCACCAAAATGATTTGACATTCATGATTAAGAGCATACTCAGAATACGACCAATTTTAAGACAGAGTCAGGCTGACAGCAAGTCATGTTTTGTAACAGGTCATTATTTCATAATTTTGATTATCCTTAAATGCAAAATATAGAGATAACAAACAGTATTCAAGATAAAAAGAAAGTCCATAAAACAAATTAAAACAGAAGCAGAGCAAACATGGACCTCCAAAACATCAAAGGTGGGAAAGTTACTATGTTTGCAAATACAACCTATTTTGACTGACAAGTCTCCTTCTACTGTCATTGTTTCTTTACCCTTTGACCCCGTTACCTTATCAAACCCTTTGTTCTTTTTATCATCTTTGTTCATGTTTAACGCATATAAGGACCTTTAAGCTTGATGAGCTAAAAATACTAAACCCGTTCTCGGAATTAGGGTCTTTGGATATTTTACAAAACAGTACCTTATGCAACACGGACCTAGGCGAACGATCAGTTTTCACGTCAAGCATTGGGATTTGAATCTGATACATAAGGATCAGTTCTGTACTCCGTTATCCCAGAGAAATACCCCCTAACCACTCCGCAAAGCGGTCCACTTAGATCGTTTTATTTGTTTACACCCTGTTCACAAATATTATCATTTACTGCTTTCATGAGATTGATAACTGTGCGTTTATATTTCATCACAATTTAAGATCGTTATTAATGCTGATATCTGTTCTTAAAATCATACTATTAAGGTTTAAGAAAGACTTAATTCTACAACATTTGTTCATTGGTGTCATAAAAATGTTTCAAATAAGGATATGGAGATAACAAACAGTTTTCAATCTCAAAAATACAAAATAAGAGCAGAGCAAACACGGACCTCTGAAATATCAGAGGTGAGATCAAGTACCATGGAGGAGTGAGCATCCCATGCCGACCGGTCACACCCGCTGCGTGTGCTCCTTATCATGATTAGGAGATAAAGGAAAAAATCCGTCGTCAATTCAGTGTATAAACAATGGACTAACAATTAGTATAACAGTCAGCATTTGAATAAATGATAAATTGTATTTGCTGACAAAGTCATTGTATCGACCATAGAACTAACGAAATGATGACTTGAAATAAGACATTTGATATTCTTGTTTTATCAACTTTCTCGTTAATTTTTTTTTAAAATTATTTTTGAGAATAACAATATGTTCGATATTGAATGAAGAATATGGAGATAACGAACAGTATTCAATATCCAAGTTTATAAAACAATACAAAATAGGAGCAGAGCAAACACGGACCTTCGAAACATTAAATGTAAGATCAGTTGTCATTGAGGAGTGAGCATCCCCTGCCGACTGCCACGTGCTACCTGTAAAGATCGGGAAATAACGAACAAGTTCGTCGTCTATTCAGTGTATGCATAATGGACTAATAATGATGAAAATCATCAGTCAGCAATTGATTCATTGATGAATTATATGTGTTTAAAAGGTTAATGCATCGACCAGTCTGCTTACAAAATGATGAATTTATTCAATGAATAACATTCATTTTTTGTACCTAATAAATAAATGATTGGATATTTTTATTCATGGTACCATTTTGAAGATGTTACCAAATAAACATAGTCTCCCGCGTGGCGCTGTGTTTAAAGCTTTTATCAAAAAGTTTGGTTGTTAGATTTCCATTAGCGTTTTTTTTTCGAGTAAAATATTCAAGAATGAAATAGTTGTGTCACACCCTGTAGTATCTTTTATCTCATCAACAAAGGAACTGAAAGCATAGCAGTTCATAGTTACTCTTTGTCGTTGTAGAACCTGGCCAGACGGACAAAACATTGATACTTGAAGTTGTAATCCCTTGTTCTGTTTTAATGGCGCTTGCATTTTTTATCGGACTAGCTTGCTACTTTCATAAGCGACGCGATGTTTCCAAATCCTGCAGAACTGTAAAATTTGATAACAGAGTAGGAGAGACTAAGCATTAACGCAGAGGATTTAGTATTCGAAAACCCTACGATTAATAATGTACCAAGTTATATATACTGGAGGGAAAAAGAAATGAACGGATGAAAACGTAATATGCGATTTGTTTACTAGGTGGCTAAAAATTACGAAAATTAGTTAGAAGTGTATTCTTGTTACTTTGAACTAACATCTGTGCTCAAATCTACCCAAACATGACGTGTATTACTTTATGTACCCGTACGAAAAGTGATAAAAAGCCAAAAATCAAATCCATGTTGATGATGACAGTTTTGTGGTCACATTCTGTAGTACCCATTGATGCACTGGAGGTATAAACAGCTTTTTACGTATATGCAGACCGTATAAATTTATTGCGATCACGGTATAGCTGCCAGATGTTTCACTTGGTCTAGTTATTAAATTGCGTAAGTGATAAAGGGCAACAACATGTTATTCTGCAGTTTATTTTTAACATTTCCGCCCAAAAATATATTGCGTGAGAGTAAATTAAAAGGTTTCCAACCAACCATGACGTTGACATTGGATTGTAATAAAGTGACATCAAGAGGTTTTTTTAATTTTGCCATCTTGTCAATATTCGAAGAAATATCACTGAAGCCGATGTTAATACAATGGGAATCAATTGTGGAAAAAATTCACCCTGAAATGACAAAAACTTTTTGATCCGCCAGCTAGGCATCCTTACTTTGATAAAACTCTCAGTCGTCCCATACGTAATGTTCTTAGCATATTTACAACGGGAAAATTCTGTCACTGTATACCAAGACGTTCTTACAAACATAAACAAATACCAAATAAGCTAGAATCTAGAAATTCAACCAATTTTTGTTCTTCGAAAATTTTCGAGATGAACTGGGCGGAAGGATTTGTTGTCGTTTAAATGTTGCAGCTATTCTCGACCAACGTATGCAACCCTGTCGGAAAGGTTGATTAATATCCCTTTTGGAAAGATAAATTTTCTGATGAACTTAATGCTCAGGAAATTCAAGGCTTTTACTGATGCTCAAGGGGAAATTACGAGAATTTTTATTACCACTTTTTGGGGTAGGGCATCGACATATGAATTTCAGAAACTCATAAATTTTCAGTCAAAATGACATAAGATTTTGGAAACTTGTTGAAAAAAAAAGATGTAAATGTTTGATAATATTACTGTTAAATACACTGGATATAATACTTTCAGTTCAATTCAAAAGTTAGCGATGCTTTTCCTTTTCCATTCAGTATATGTATATAGGATCTCACATGATTTTGTGTTGGATATGATTTTTATCAAACGAATGTCAACCGAGGCGCAGCCTCGGTTTTTATTTCATTAACCATGTTCATAGAGTTAATGTTACCACACTCTTATGCAAATGGTTTTCGAGGGGTGAAAGGTAAGGGGATGAAAACACACAACGAGTTGGATTTAAATTATACCCAACTACAAATCATGTGAGATTCATATTGTCCCATGTTTTATACACTACCTTCAATGTTTACACTGCTTTATATGGGACTCCACTTCATTTTACATCATCACTCTAACGCAGTACCATATGTGACGTTTAGGATGTAAAAAATATCCATTGAGTCATACTCATAGGATAAATGTGTAAACATGGGATAAATAATATAAATGATCACAATATGTCACCGTTTTATGTTTAATTTTTTTTGTATTCTTAAAATATGTATATTGATGACAATGCTATTCTGATAGGAATCGTTTGCACTTGCATGTTAATATCAACTTACATAAACCTTATATATTCAAGGTATCATATATTGAAATGGATATAAACACATAGTAGAATCAATTTGTATATCAAATGCATGCATCATTTTTTTAATGTGAGAATACTCATACTTTCACTTGCAATACCGAAGGTATGTCTTAAAATGCTTGAAACATGAGTTTATTCCTAAAATTAAGTTTAGCTGACATTGACATGAAAACACATTTTTTATAACTGTTCAAGCACCTTCTTCTGAGTCTTGTTTTTTTTTATTTTTACATTTAATCAGGGAAAACATACCACATAGAGGTTTTTATTTCATTAACCATGTTCATAGAGTTAATGTTACCACACTCTTATGCAAATTATTGTGATACTAAGATACACAATCATGAAAGAGTATGAAAAAGCACTTTCGTGTCATTCTTTATGTGTTCTTTATTTTGAAAAACTATCATAAAATATTTTATTTATTAATAAGTAAAATTCAATAAAAAGATAATTTGATATTGTTGTTGTAATTATTACGAGGGTTGTCCCATAAAATCCTGGACAAAGCGTTTTTCTCGAAAAGTAATGGGCGCACTAAGTTGAAATTTTCAGTAAATATTTATTCATCATATTTAAGTGAATCATAATGTTTTTGATAATATATATTCAAAAATAAAGATTTTATTCTGCTTGAATGTGCACAAGGTACAGTCCTACGGCGCACGGTAAAAATAGCAAGGTTATATTAGAGAAGACATAAAAATTAGTTCGTAATAAAAGTTTTCAATACATAAGATTAGGATGAAAATTATCCTTATTCCATTCCTTAATCAATTCTGTCGTCTTTTTAAAAAATTCAAGGCATTTGGTTAATTTTTGGCAGTTTCCTGAGCATTTGAAATAGGAAAGTAATAAACACAATACACGAAAAATGGCGACTTTTTATGTGTCAAATAATGACCTTGCGTAGAGAATAGTGATCCAAACTCCTCTTTGATAAATAACAGAAAATCTTTTCTACATTTAAACTTTACATTTTAATTAACAAAATATTGTACAACAAAATAAACTGCTTTGGTGTGTGGTCGTCCCTGTCCCTCGAATGCCGGTATTCTATGGTTCCAAACGGTGTTTGGGTTACACTACAGTCTCTTGCCGCTAAGGAGGCTCAGTCACCCCTCTCCAGTGCGAAGAGATTACACTTCCCCCTCTCCCGTGCCGAAGAGGTTACACGTCCGTCTTGCGTTTAAGACAATGAGATGTGACTGGTACGGGCCGCCATCTCTACACTACTACACAGGAATGATCAATGAGACCTGTTAAATATCATACACAGAATAATATAGACATATATACAATTTACGCTTTGAACCGTTACAGTACAGTATGTACAATGCAATAAATGCTATACTTCACAACAGTAAATACAGAACGTAGAACCGACAAATAAAGACACAAACAATCCACCATACTTTACAGACTTTAGCAGTTTCGAATACAATGTAACTATAAATAACAGAACTTTAAAAATATGAAATGGAATAGCTTAAAGTTGCATATTTTAGAAATTTCGTGTCTGGGTGTTTTAAGATATTTACAACTTCATAAAATAATAAAAACAAATACAAATAAGGCTTACCTCAGAGAAGCAGGACCAAATCATAAATTCTAAATAAGGGTTGAGTTGAAATACCCTCAGTGGTCTGCCATGTGTATAATAAAAGTCAATTATGTAAATCTTGAGAAGTTTTGAAAACGTCCTTCTACCTGGACTGCCGTGTCCAAACTGAAGCACGGGCTCACCAATATTTTAAAGGTCCAGTGATTTGAGGTATAAAACGGGGTTAAATGAACCCAGTGAAAAATGGAGGCTCCCCACAGGTGAATACAAATTACTGCGTGTTCGATTAGGAGATTTGAATGTGACAATTACCTCATATTTTTACAAAAGTACGCAGTACTTTAAAACACATAAAAATCTAATAAAAATTAGAAAGCAAACCTGAATCTTTACAGATAAGAAACTATTTACAAAAATTTACAAACGACTAAGATAATCTGCACCTACATTCTCTTTTCCCTTTATAGCCTGAATTCTAAATCGATACGGCTGGAGACTGAGTGCCCAGCGCATCAATCTAGGATTAGTGACCTTTGACTGATTGAGATACACAAGTGGACTATGATCAGTCTCTAGAACAAACTCTTGACCGTATAAATACTTTTGAAATTTCTGAATGGCCCAAACAATAGCCAAACATTCTTTCTCCACTGTTGCGTACGCACTTTCACTCTCTTTCAACTTCCTACTCGCGTATGCTACTGGTAACTTTTGATCTTCTACACTCTGCAATAACACAGCCCCTAAACCTCTATCAGATGCATCAGTCTGAGGTATAAAAGACTCCTTTATGTTTGGTAGTTTCAAAATAGGAGAATGAATTAAGGACGACTTCAATGACTGAAATGCAATTTCGTGACATTTTCCCCACACAAGTTTGGTTGGACACCCTTTTCTAGTCAAATCTGTTAATGGCAATGCAATACATGCAAAATTTGGAACAAACTTACGATAGAATCCTATTAACCCAAGGAATGACCGCAGTTGCTTCTTAGTTCCTGGTCTTGGTGCATCTTGTATAGCCTTGACCTTGTCAGACATTGGTCTCAACTGTTCATTGCCAATCACATGACCTAGACAATTCAAACTGGGATAGGCAAATGAGCACTTACTTGGTTTAGCAGTTAGGCCTGCGCTACGTAGACGCTGAAAAAGTTCGTCAAGTACTTTGAGATGATGTTCAAATGTCTCTGTAAAAAATGGTTATGTCATCAATAAAATTGTCGACATTTTCCATGTCACTCAAAACTTCAATCGCATCAATCGTGAAAAAGTAGCTGGCGCTGTGACTAAGCCAAAGGGCATAACACAAAATTGAAATAACCCTTTACTTGTTCTAAAAGCTGTCTTTGGTTTAGATGCTTCTGTCAGTTTTATTTGCCAGTACCCCTTTGATAAGTCAATTTTTGAGAAATATTTGTGTCCTGCAAATTTTGCAAATATTACATCGGCATCTGGTATTGGTTCAGAGTCAAAAATTGTCTGTCTGTTTAGTAACCGAAAGTCAATACAAAACCGATTGGTACCATCCTTCTTTGGAACAATAACTATTGGAGAACAAAAAGGAGACTCAGACGGTTCAATGATCTTTAATTTTAACGTGTCACTCACCTCTTTGTTGACCGTTTCTTCCAAAGAAAAAGGAACTGAACGTGTTTTGACATGTATTGGCTTATCACTTACCATGCAGATGTCATGTTCTAAAATAGAAATGGTTGGTCTTGTAAAACGTCAACATACTTGGCTATGAGACTCATCAGCTTTTCCCTCTCCACATTTGATAGCGAACCATTTATATATACTGCTGTGCCTTGGTCAGCATCAAGTGTCGGATAGTTGTCTAACTGTCCTTCCTGTGTTGCGTCTCGCACACAATCCACAAATGTAGCATTTACTGTACCAAATACACTTTCATTAGTCACAACAAGAACATTGTTACCTTGTGCTCTTTCGACATATTTCTTAAGAAGATTTATATGAAAGGTCTTTACCTTGCCGTTCATTTTTAGCTGGTAGTCTACACGGTTTACCTTCTTTACAATGTCAAAAGGGCCATTCCATTGAAGTAGTAACTTGTTGTGGTGGAGGCATTAAAATAAGAGCTTTGTCACCTACCTTTAGAGATCTATGTCTAGCTCTCTTGTCGTAGTACTTCTTGTACCTGGTGGCAGATTTTTCAAGGTTTTCTCTGGCAAGCTGAGCCATGGACTGCAGTCTCTCTTTCAGATCTAAAATATACTGATAGGTTGTTTTCACGTTTGGATCTTCTATTTCCTTTGTACAAAGTTCTTTTAAAATAGCCATTGGACCCCGTACTAACCTTCCATAAACTAATTCAAAGGGAGAAAACCCCATACTTTCCTGTGGTAATTCTCTATAAGCAAAGAGTACTGCATTTCAATACTTATCCCAGTCCTTAGGCTTCTCTGCACAAAGTCGTTTCAAGATTTGCTTTTAAGTTCCATAAAAGCGTTCGACTAACCCATTAGAGGAGGGGTGATAAGGTGTGGTTGTCCACTGCTTCATAGAAATGAGTCGACTTACCTCCTTCATAAGAGAGGACGTGAATTGAGTACCCATGTCCGTTAACATTTCTCTTGGTATACCTACCCTAGAGAAAATTTCCATTAACGCTTCTGCAACTCTTTCTGTCTCTATACTTGGTAAAGCTACAGCTTCTGGATAACGGCTTGAATAATCTACTAGAGTAAGTATGTACCTGTTACCCTTTTCCGTGATTGGCGATAACGGGCCCACTATGTCAACTGCAACTCGCTGGAATGGCACGTCAATTAATGGCATACGTTCTAAAGGCACTCTGCTCACCCTATCTTTTTGAAGAGTACGCTGGCATATATCACAGGACTGACAAAACCGTCGGATGTCACTCTTGAGTCCTGGCCAGAAAAACTCTGAGTTAACTATAGTTTACTATAGTTAACTATAGTGATAACTTTGACACTTTGAAAACTTTGATTTACTATAGTGATAACTTTGACACTTTGAAAAACTTTGACGAAAACTTTGACACTTTGAAAAACTTGAACGAAAACTTTGACACTTTGAAAAACTTTGGCGAAAACTTTGACACTTTGAAAAACTTTGGCGAAAACTTTGACACTTTGAAAAACTTTGGCGAAAACTTTGACACTTTGAAAAACTTTGGCGAAAACTTTGACACTTTGAAAAACTTTGACGAAAACTTTGATACTTTGAAAAACTTTGGCGAAAACTTTGACACTTTGAAAATCTTTCGCGAAAACTTTGACACTTTGACAAACTTTATCGAAAACTTTGATACTTCGAAAAACTTTATCAAAAACTTTGATACTTCAAAAAACTTTATCGAAAACTTGGATACTTCGAAAAACTTTGACGAAAACTTGGATACTTCGAAAAACTTTGTCAAAAACTTGGATACTTTAAAACTTTGAAAAAGTTTATTGAAAACTTTGACACTTTAAAAAAACTTTATCAAAAACTTTTATTCTTCGAGAAACTTTATCAAAAACTTTGACACTTTGAAAAACATTATCGAAGTCTCTGATACTTTGTAAAACTTAATTGAAAACTTGGATACTTTGAAAAACTTTATCAACAAGAGGCCCATGGGCCTTATAGGTCACCTGAGCATTATGCAACAACTTTCCAGTTATTCAATTTGATTCATGTTTTAAGCCAGATGCTATATGACGTTCACAATTATGAAAGAGGCACCATTGATCATCATAACAATACACTTAGCAGTTGCTTAGCTTGGTTACTGAATACCCATACACAGGGTAGGGGAACAAAAATGCATTCCAACTAATCAGTAGTGCCCCTAACACTGTGACATAAACCCCTGACCCTAGGTTCACACATTGCACAAATTTTAAAAAGGCACCCTTAATATAAAAAAAATAAATGTTCTATAAATACAAAAGAGCAGATTTCAAACAATAAATTCATTTTCAGTATATAAGTAGAGCCCCCACCCCACCCCTGACCCTGGGGCCTTGAAATTCACAAGTCTGCAAGATTAGGGCCCTTGCTCATCATAACTATAAAGGTAGTTCATCTGCTTCATACCCAGAGACAGAGAATAACATTTTCAAGATTCAATGTATTTTCACTGTATAATCAATAGAGCCCCGCCCCCCTTACACCAGAACCCCTGACCCTGGGGCCATAAAATTCATAATTTTAAAAAAGGCATTCTTGCTCATCATAACTATGTACTTAGTTTATTTAATTCCTAGGAGCAGTGAAGAAGATTTTCAAAGAATTCATGTATTTTCAATATATAATCAACAGAGCCCCCCCCCTCCCCAACACCAGAACCCTTGACCCTGGGGCCATAAAATTCACAATTTTGGTAGAGGCACTCTTGCTCATCATAACTATGCACTTAGTTAGTTTATTTAATACCTACGAGCAGAGAAGAAGATTTTCAAAGATTCATGTATTTTTACTATATAATCTATAGAGCCCCACCCTAACACCAGAACCCTGGGACCATAAAATTCACAATTTTGGTTGAGGCACTCTTGCTCATCATAACTATGCACTTAGTTAGTTTACTAAATACCTAGGAGCAGAGAAGAAGATTTTCAAAGAATTCATGTATTTTCAATATATAATCAATATAGCCCCCCCCCCCCTCCCCAACACCAGAACCCTTGACCCTGGGGCCATAAAATTCACAATTTTGGTTGAGGCACTCTTGCTCATCATAACTATGCACTTAGTTAGTTTATTTAATACCTACGAGCAGAGAAGAAGATTTTCAAAGATTCATGTATTTTTACTATATAATCTATAGAGCCCCACCCTAACACCAGAACCCTGGGGCCATAAAATTCACAATTTTGGTTGAGGCACTCTTGCTCATCATAACTATGCACTTAGTTAGTTTACTAAATACCTAGGAGCAGAGTAGAAGATTTTCAAAGAATTCATGTATTTTCACTATATAATCAATATAGCCCCACCCCCCCTCCCCAACACCAGAACCCTTGACCCTTGGGCCATAAAATTCACAATTTTGGTTGAGGCACTCTTGCTCATCATAACTATGCACTTAGTTAGTTTATTTAATACCTATGAGCAGAGAAGAAGTTTTTCAACTAATTCTTTTATTTTTACTATATAATCAATAGAGCCCCCCCCCTCCCCAACACCAGAACCCTTGACCCTGGGGCCATAAAATTCACAATTTTGCTTGAGGCACTCTTGCTCATCATAACTATGCACTTAGTTAGTTTATTTAATACCCATGAGCAGAGAAGAAGATTTTCAAAGATTCATGTATTTTTACTATATAATCTATAGAGCCCAACCTTAACAACAGAACCCTGGGGCCATAAAATTCACAATTTTGGTTGAGGCACTCTTGCTCATCATAACTATGCACTTAGTTAGTTTATTCAATACCTAGGAGCAGAGTAGAAGATTTTCAAAGAATTCATGTATTTTCACTATATATAATCAATAGAGCCCCGCCCTCACACCAGAACCCCTGACCCTGGGGCCATAAAATTCACAATTTTGGTAGAGGCACTCTTGCTCATCATAACTATGTACTTAGTTCATTTATTTAATACCCAGGAGTAGAGAAGAAGATTTTCAAAGAAATAATGCATTTTCACTATATACTTATTTAGCCCCGCCCTAGCACTAGAACCCCTTACCCCAGGGCCATAAAATTCACAATTTGGTAGAGGACTCAATGCTGATTACAATCATGCAAACAGTTTGACTGCTTGATGTCCATGAGTAAAGAAGAAGATTTTTGAAGATTGCATTAATTTTAGTGGTTTTGGCCCCACCCCTCAGGCCCCAGGGGGGCAGGGATCATGAAATTCACAATTTTTGTTCCCCTTCACCCAAAGATGCTTTGTGCCAAATTTGGTTGAAATTGGTTCAGTGGTTGCAGAGAAGAAGCTGAAAATGTTCAAATGTTAACACACGACGGACGACGAACGACGGACGATGGACGACGACGGACGAAAACGAATAGCAATAGGTCACCTGAGTTTACTCAGGTGACCTAAAAAATTTAACACTTTGTAAAACTTTGTCGAAAACTTGGATACTTTAACACTTCGAAAAACTTTATTGAATACTTTGACACTTTAAAAACTTTATCGAAAACTTTGAAAAACTTTATCAAAAACTTTGAAAATTTAAAAAACTTTATCGAAAACTTGGATACTTTAACACATAGAAAAACTTAATTGCCAACTTTGACACTTTAAAAAACTTTATCAAAAACTTTGAAAATTTAAAAAACTTTATCAAACTTTATCGAAAACTTGGGATGCTTTGAAAAACTTTATCAAAAAGTTTGAAACTTTGAAAAACTTTATCGAAAATTCTGATACTTTGGCGAAAACTTTGACACTTTGAAAAACTTTGGCGAAAACTTTGACACTTTGAAAAACTTTGGCGAAATCTTTGAAAATTTGAAAAACTTTGGCGAAAACTTTGACACTTTGAAAAACTTTGATGAAAACTTTGACACTTTGAAAAACTTTGGCAAAAACTTTGACACTTTGAAAAACTTTGGCGAAAACTTTGACACTTTGAAAAACTTTGGCGAAAACTTTGACACTTTGAAAAACTTTGACAAAAACTTTGACACTTTGAAAAACTTTGGCGAAAAACTTTGACACTTTGAAAAACTTTGGCGAAAAC